ATGAAGAGCCTCATACTTCGGCGAAATAGCTGTCCAGTGCTTCCTGGTTTCCAATGATCTCTAACTGGTGTTGTCTGGTGACAAAATCTATACCGAAGTTAAAAGAGGAAGCTAAAATCAGGGAACATAAAGAGAATAAATTATATAAAAAAAATGTACAAATTCTAAATAATAAAATATAAAAACACTTGACTCTCTCCATGTTGAGGACAATAGATGAGAAGTTTATATATTTCATGGCTTGAAACTGAATTATTTTACAGTTATTATTTTCTTACTCAAGCCATCTATGATTGTATTGTTTACATTGATTTGATGATTCGTGAGCTTACGAAGCATTCGATAATATGTAGAACATCACAAATGGACACTGTTACTGTATCAATGAAAAGACATTTAAAATGTGTCTCCTATCTAAACTTATTTTGGCTGAATAGTATACGAGCTTGCCTTGTAACCCGAAGGTACTGGGTTCGAACCTCGGTGGGTGCGTACTACCGATGATTCCCAAAACTACAATGTTGTTCTAAACTTATTTGTTTGCGAATGTTTTATGGCCAAACGAATTTGTGTATTTTTTCTGATAACTGAAATTTATTATTATTATTGTTCCCTTGGGTTCCTAGTGGAACATAAGGCTTCAACTGCACGTCTCCACTTGCTTCTGTCTTCTGCTGTGCTTTTCACCTGCATCCATGTTAATCCATATTGTTCCTATTCCTCTTCACACGATCTCCTCCATGTCACCCTTGCACCGACGAACCACTCGCCGCCTCCCCTTTGGGTTCCACTCGAGCTATGGCCTGACGCGCGATGTCACCCAGAGGCCTCCTCAGCTCACCGAGTGTCCAATCCATCTCCACTCTCTCCTGCATATTTGTTGGGCGACTGGTTCTTGTTTCGTTTGTCCCCATAGTTTCTTGTTGGTGATTCTTTCCGGCCATATGATCCTCAGTATAGAACGAAGACAGTTGTTGATAAAGGTCTGCAACGTGTTGGAGATAACTCTGTGATAACTGATATACACAGAATCAATCATTCTGTTCGCCAATTTACTCAGTTTTACTGGCAGAAAACTCTTTGTCTTGAAGCTGAGGGACCACAGGTTTAAGTTATTGGTTAAAACTAACAGTTGGATATTGTACTTTTGCTGTTCTGGAAGTTAGAGTTTTTGTATACAAAAGCTTTCAATGTCAGGGGTGGCATGATATTCAGTGAATGTTCAAGGGAAAGCAGATGCGGAATATTTCACATGAACATTTCTCAGGATAATTGATTTATGAAGTATGTGTCACCCCTAAGAATAGTCTTGAAATTAACGTCTAGGCTGATAGCTAACGAAAGACGGGTAAGTGGGCTGGTCAGCGGTCCCATACATACCAACCAAAGGTTTCAGTTATTTTGTAAACAGACTGTCTTCAAAATAAGTTCGTATTTTGTTTGTACTGAATAAATCCTGAAAGGAAATCAGTCATTATTATTATTTCCTTGGTAGTGATGCACTCCCAGCTCTCAGTATCTTTATGGTATTCAAGAATTGTGCTTTCAAGGAAGGAGGGCTACCCCTTGTCTTGCCTCTTATTCCTCACTAAGATGGCCACACAAGTTGTCCTGAAAAGTCCCAGTGTTCTTCCACACAGGTTTTCTCAGTGATGCCACGTAGTGTCACCGACTTTGCTCTTATGGCTGCAGTGAAGGTGTCTTTTGTAGTTTTGTCTTTCTGTTTCTGAGTGTTGAACTTGAATTGTGATCTACCTTCAGCTGCTTTGAAGGATTTCAGCTTGACCTTGAAAGTTCTTTGCACAAGATAATGGTCTGAGTCCACGTCTGCTACTCTTCTCAATTTCGTGTCAAGCAGTTTGAGTTTCCACTTTCTTAAGCAGCATTGGAATGAGATCTATCTGGATTTTGGTGTCCATATAGCGAAACTCATGTCGCTATGTGGGTATCTTTGTGATTATAGCAGCTGCTTTCAATCAGCAAATTACCGAAGGTGTAGAAGCCTTCCGTTTTCATTCTTTTTGCCAAGAGCCTCTCGATGCATTATGAGTTTTCCTTCTGTGTGGTTTGCTCCCAGTTTAGCATTTATATTATCCCGTTAAGGTCTTGTCCATTACTGTTTGCAGTTGTCTGTAGAATTCTTCCTTCCCCTCTTGATCTAGATCTTTTTCAGGAAGGTAGTATTGTATAATCGTAAACCTCCTACCTTTTGAAATGAATATTGCATCATAATCCTGGAGGAGGTCGTTTGTCACTGCATAAGGGTATTAGATGATATAAGAGACATCATGTAGCCACCCCCCTGTGTTCACGGTTGTAGTCTGGGTAGCTTGAGTAGATTACTGACTTTCCAGCTGGCAATTTGGAGATTCCATATGCTCTCACAGATTCCTAGCACTCCCATAACATATCTTTTCATTTCTTTGGTAATCTGAGCAGCCTTCCCAACCGGCCTCGAACATCGTGCGAACATTCCATGTCCCCGTATATTGCCTTCATTAAAAGAAGACATGTTGACTGACTGGCTTCCCGAAGGGTTTCACTAGTCCGCGTCATCCTGTTTCTCCGATTCCACAGAAGAAGAATTTCACTTTTTATATTTTTCCTGTAAATCGAAGTTTCTGTAGCAACTAAATTGATTTCTGTGAGAAGAGTCCCTAGTCTCTCGCTCACTCTTTTCTCTTTTCCTGTGTATAGGAAAGGCCAGTAAACTGAGTGAAATGGTAAAAATCAGTCACTAGCTACCTTATAATTTTGAGACTTTGTGTGTTAGACTTTTTAAATCACCTCTACTATTCCATTCTAAATTTGAAATAACGCTTTACTGGACATCAAAAGCTGACTAACAGTCTTCACAGATAAAGAGAGATAATATTCATTTAATTTCTCGTATCTGAAGTCCTCTTTCTGTAATGTGTGTGGGTCAGTGAATTATATTATATTTCATATTACAATTGAATCTTTTAGCTGTGAACACATGCTGAGCGTTCTGCAACTACAATTATTTTCATTTTCAATACAAATTCATGTATACTCAAGTTCACAGAGTTGTCTTTTAAGCAAGTATCTTTGAATTAGCTAACTGTTCACTTTTTAAATCAGATTTTTGACAACGATAAATTCTCTATCATTACTTTTTTTAATTATCTTTAAAAGAGTGTAACAACAATAACGATTACCAATAGAAATCTTTATTCTATTAGCTACATAGTGAAATTAACATGCTTTAATTATATTAAGCAAAACATCTGTTCCACTTTTAAAGGAGGGGGATTTCTGTGAGAACTAGTAGCAGACTAGTCATTGGAAGAATTTTAAAAAATACTTTTTAGGATACTCTTTCTAAAAGTATTCAATACAATTATCTATCATCTCATTATTCTTTCAATTTAAAAATGTTGATAAGCTGAAGTAAACCAAGGCACTTTAACCATGTACTGTTTACTAAGGGTTGGTTTGTAGGGATTTGATCGGTTCCAGGTTTGATCACGATCTGATATCAGTTAGAGAACCAACGGAAAACTAGGGAGTACTGGATAGTTGTTCAGAACTTGTTCTTGGGACTCTTCATCAGTAGGTACTCACTTGGGTTCGAAACCAGGGCCTTCCGTTTGCAAGGTGAGCATGTAGACCGTTTAGCCACGGAGATCTGACCCAATGACCCATGAATTCCAACTTCTGCCAATTCATTCTATGTAGCGCAACCGCCAGCCAATGTCACAGGCGAGTAGCTATTCTCTTACCTCACTTATAAATATTTACTTCCATTTCAACACCTTCAAATAAACAGAAATGACTGTTGAAGCCTAAAATGGTTATAAAACTACCTCTTGCCTTAAATAAGCTGGTTATGTGGGGTCATTCCTAATGTTGATTTATTCTTTTTCATTCCCTATCATATTTGTATGTGCTATTCAAGAGCGACTGACTTCATGTTATCTAATCCCTAAACGCTTAAGTAATTCCTATACTTGCAACTCGCGTCAGTGGTTCAGTGTTAGAACATTGGTTGATCACACGAATCCTCCGAGGTTCGATCCCCTGCCTGCAAACTCCTCTACCTCGTTTAGCCGGCAGTAGGGCTGGCAACCCTGTCCTGGGAAAAATACACTGCTACCGAAACTTTAAAGCTATAGCTTGAAGCCCTATGTTCCACTTGGAACGCAAAAGGAATGAAGTACTTTTGTAACGACAGAAGACAAGGTCCAGGCAACAGATCGTTTATTGAGAAAATCAATAGATATTTATAAATGTTATGTACATTATTGTCAGAGGAGAAGCAACGTCTCCTGATTGGTTGCTTTCTTGCTAAACGTTATTCTGTACTACATGTGACCGTTTCTCAGAAAGTTAAGTCATATACCTGCGAATCCTATTTGCACACGTTAAGTCTGTTGTGATTGGTTGGTGAGTTCCTCAAGGTTAGGCTTTGTCATTGTTTTTCTCATGACCCCGATTCGGGACTTGACATTGACGCAAATTGCTGTCTACAGTTTTTGGCTTTCAGCCAGCTGTCACCACACTTTCACCTCATGACAAAACAATATAAGCACTAGACAAAAAGTCTCTCCTCCATTATTATTATTCCCTTAGGTTTCGCGTGGAACATGGGTTTTCAACAACACGTCTCTATTTCATTCTGTTTCCTGAGGTCGTATTTAGCTAGCTCCACGATTGACCATACACTTTCATCGCCTCCGTGTCACCCTTGGAAATACACCCAACTCGTCACATTCCATTCGGGTTCCACTCGAGGTCTTCTCCTAGTTTACTAGCTAACTGTAAGCCTGGAAAAAGAGCGAAGGCTGGGCGTAGGGCTAGCGACTCTATGCTGGAATATCACGCTAACTGCTACAGAAACTTCAACGTACACAGAAAATATACAAAATAAATCTATATCTCATCCATGGTAAACCTTATATGAATTTCACTGTTCAGAATCTGTGAATGAAGTAAATTATGTACTCCTATTGTTTTCATTTTTTTTGTCTATCGTCTAGTAATTATGAAAATCTTCAGCTTCAACAGTCTTATTCACCCAGCAATGGTGGCTATTTACCCCAGTATCGTTATTCTGGTCGTTCAGATGATGAAGAGTATTTGTATCCTCCACCGCTGCCTGATGAACAAATTCCTATTTATTCTGATTTTGGACCTTATTCTGATGTGGATGAGCCAGACTGGGATCCTGAATACATCAGCCATCGTCAAAGAGGAGAGTTTGTTCCATGGATAGATGAACAACAGCATAGGTTAGTTTAAGACTACTTTCTTACATATTTACAGGTACATGAGTGACTTTTAAAGGCAAAGTTTATATTTCATTACAAGTATGGCTACAACCTTCTTTCCATCACTATACCTTTTCATCTGTCACCTAATGTGTGGACCACGAAATTACTGCACATGGAAAAATATGTAACTGATAGAACCCAGAACTGATGTAAAGTGCTCAGTAATGGCTAACATTAGGATAAAAACGAAATCCTGAGTACATAACTGTAGATACAGTCTGAACTTAAACCTTGATAGTTTATCCAGCCATGCATGTTTCTAAAGGATGCATTGTACAAACCAAGGTTTTTCAAATTTTCATGGTTGCAATTTAGACAGATTCACATTTAGCTTCATATTTATTTAATGATTACAGTAGCAACTAAAGTAATATATGTGTAAAACTTGGGCACTATGGTAGTAAGTAATTCCATATTAGTTTGTTTATTAGATGTATCACACAGTGAAACAGTATTATTTACTGGATGACGTTTCGAACAAAATTTATCGTTCACAATCATATCAATTGTAATCACACGACTTTGAAACTTGAGTTTTATAGTTTTCTTTGTCTTCTCCTATTTGTCGTCATTGGGGTAGTAGAATTTTCCAGATATCTGATGATTTAGATTCCTCATCAGTAGTAATTCCATACAAGGAAGGAACCTCGGAAATCTCACGCAAAATTCTTAACAAGGCAGGAATAAAAGTGGCTGGCATTCAAACCAACAAACTCAATTAGAAACAAGCTTTGTCGGTTAAAGGATCAATCCTGTGGAGCCTTTAAAACAAAACAATTCAGTTTATCTAATACTCTGCCTGCGATGATTGTTAGGTCAAACTAGTAGAACAGGGGCAGTCAGACTAGCTGAACTTAAAAAGCTAGCAGCAAAATCTTGATTAGTTGACTCGAATAAGATGAGAAATCTAGGAAATAGTTCACCTATGCCACTCACTATATGCAGTTGTACACAACCATACAATAGGATGGGATAAGATGACAGTTTTAAAATCTAATGTAATAGTTGGGTGGGGGGAGAGATTGATAATGGAGGCTTTGTTTATCGAATCAACTGCAAATACGTGTAATTGTAATGATTCAACACCTGTCCAGTTGGACATCTGGAAAATCCTACTACCCCAACGACGAAGAATAGGAGAGAACAAAGAAGACTATAAAACTCAAGTTTCGAAGTCGTGTGATTACAATTGATATGATTATAAATAATAAATTTTGTTCGAAACGTCATCTTGCAACTATAGTAGCCAAAACCGAGTCGTTACGATCTAAACTCAGGAAATCGATCTCTGCGTTCTACTGTACAACTGCTCGGAACTTCCTTGAGACATGCACAATCAGGGAATGCTCCAGAGACAGGAAAAAGACGATTATTCTTGAATAACTCCGTGGTACTATTATTCAACAAGAACATCAGAAACTCAAAACTACCTCAGCAGTGGCGTTAGGCGGCTTTACAAGCAACTTAGATTTCCAAACATGAAACAAGTATTGTAGGAAAAAACTAGTTATCCAGAATTCAACTGTAAGAAGTACCCGAAAATCAAGTAGTATATTCCCAGCAGATTGAGATCCAAAACTCTGTCCACAAGAATCACACACCAATGCTTTCCGCAGATAGTCAGATTCCAGGATGACCTTGATTCACTCAAACAAAATCTCATCGTTCAACACATATTTAGTGTACACGCAATCATAAAGAGAAGCATTAAAATAAGAGATTAAACAAGGACAGAGACAAATAACAGAGGTTAGAACCAATATGTGGTATACGAATGTCAAAATAACGGAATACTATATAATATAATCATAACAATAGCTCTATTATGCACAATAAGTTTACACAATATGCACAATTTTCAGCATAGTTTATTGCACAATACTTACTCTTTATCCAGGAGTTTCATTTAAAACAACCATCTCCAGCACATCATGTGGTGCGCTGATGTTAGACTGGAAGAATAAAATAATCCACTTAGGTATTTTTCTCTGATCCCTCAGAAATGCTCAGCGATAGACTGCAAATAATAATAATTTGCTTTATTCCAAAACAGTACTTGTGATACAAAATGGAATTCTCAGCATTTTTACTACAGTATTGCATCCAGTTAGTACATTATCAATAAATAGAATTCTACATAGATTAAGGAAATCTCAGTTCATTATGACAACCACATATTGGCATGTCGGTAGCAAAGCCAAAGCTGAACAGTGTTTGAAGGTGTTAGAAAAGTAGATGCTATCATATTTACTGGCGTAAGAGGAAGAAAGAAACAAAGCAGCACATAACGGAGAAAAAAAGAGAGAGAATAGGAAAAGAAAGAAAGAAAATGTTGTACCTATAAATGACATGAGTTGGAAAGACGAGATCCAGTTGTTCTACTGACTATTTAATAAGTTTCAGGTGTCACGCCTAATGCTTTCTTTATCGCACAGAACACGAGCTAAGTAGGGTATGGTTGAGTTTTTGTACTTGCTGGTGCGAGCATATAGTTTTCTATATAGGCTTCTGCTTTTGCCTGATGAGATACAAGGAGAGAGTTGTGAGTGAAGAGGGTGGTGTGAGTTTGATAAAATGGGTTTGGCCCATTTTTCACATGAGTCCATGTGCCTGTCGACCAGAATATTAACAAGCTGGTTAAGTGGCACGTTACTTACCCTGCTGACAACCTTTAACAACCTGCGTAATAAGGTATAGTCTTTCTTCAGTAGCCCGGGAAAAACTAAGGGGGAACAATAGAGAATAATAGGCAGAATGCGAGAGTTAACGAATTGTAGGAGTAAGGGTTGGGTTATATCAGAATTTCTTAACTTCTTGATGTAGAAGGTAAGACGGAAAATTTCTTAGAAATCGCCAAGATATGAGACGACCAGGAGAGATCAGCAGATAGAATGACGCCTAGGTATTTAATTTCCGACTTGGTTTCTATTTCAGTGCCATCTATGTTGCACACCTCGTGAGTGCCAACCAGTTTGTTTAGGTAGGATTTATGCCTAAAGATGAAATTGACTGTTTGGAATTTGGAGAGGTTTAAGGTAAGGCCGTTTTTCTTGGACCACTGGCTGATTTCTGACAGAAAGCCATTTAGTTTGGAGCAGTCACTTTGACATTTGACAGGCAAAGATACAGTCAGTTTATTTGACAAAGTTAATGTCATTTGAAGATGGTGAGTCATGTAGAAAGAAAGAAAAGAGAAGTGGGGAGAGTACAGCACCTTGGGGGACACCAGCTTCAGTGAGCGCAGCAGAGGAGGATTTACCTTTGTATACGGTGTACTGCATTCTGTTAGAGAAGCAGGAATGGAACCAGTTAGTGATCCAGGATTCAGTTTTTGTCATAGAGAGCTTATTTAGCAAGAGACATTTAGGTACAGAGTCAAAAGCAGAAGTGAAGTCGAGAAACGTGCATGAGTATATTTGGAGACCCACTGATATAACTGAATGATTATAACAACAAGAACTAAAGAAAATAAGATGCACTTTTTCGGATGGAAATTCGGGTAGCCGAGAGATTCAAGCAGGAAAATAATTACAAAATTAGTTGAAACACCCAAATAAGTACAAGTACTGTGATTAGACTGTTCAACAAGGACTTTCCAGACAATTTTCCTATCACAGACAGATCCAAGCAATTTGTCTTCTTCTGGTTGGGAAACACCACAATATTCTGTGTATGCCTTTGCCCTTATTAAAGTTTTTTATCTTCTATGTATATCGTTATTCTTCTAACTGGTTGATTAATTTCCATTCTACAACTGACTACTGATCCGATCTCTCACTTTTGCCTGACAAGAACAAGCCGTAAATACTGTAGTTCGGTCGGTAGGTTGGTTTTCGACATAGAACTTTGCACATATGTGCGGCAGTTCAAGTCGCCACACTCCATGTAGCACACAAAGCAAGAGAAGAAAGTAGGAGAAATGCAAAATATAGACAGTAAACAGAGGTGTGAGACAAAGGAATAGTAATAACGAAGAACAAAACAGTTTAATTGGAAATCATAAGTCACAGGGAGTGGCTGCATCTGCGCCATCACTGAGAACGAGGATTTTGAGCCATGTCACCGATTGTTTCTAACCATTGGTTTTTACCGTCCCGAGGACCCCAACCAGGAAATCTACATCTCCCTACGTGGCTTAGACTAACTGTTGTGGATTTCATTGACTTGTGACATGTTTTCGTTTGACCGCCGCTAGCTCTTTTCCAGCCTGACCCTATATCAGCTAACATTGCCCGTAACGGAACGCGATGACTAGGCATACGTAGCACATGTCCTAACCATCTCAGTCGAAGTAATTTCACAGATTCGTCGATTGATTTCCCCGCCTTACCTAGCACTCGACGCCTAACCTCAATATTGCTCACCTTATTATACCACTTCACACGGGAGATAGAACGCAGACACCTATGATCGAAGACAGCTTGCTAGTCTTTTCATGTCTTCCACTCTCAATGGCCAGGTCTCACAGCTAGCCGTAAAGGAGGACGGAGCGGACTGCTGAGCAGTACACCTGCCCTTTGGTCGATAGTCGTATATCACGTCTACGCCACAGACGGCGTAAACTGACATATGCGAAACTAGCCCTCTATATTCGTGCTGAGATTTCGTCAGAGATCAACCCGTCGGGGCTGATGGTAATTCTTGAGTAAGTAAAGCGGTCAACATGCCCTACCACTTCACTTCCTATTTCTAATCTAGGGGTCGGTGAAGTCCAATCCTGCAACATCACCTTACATTTTACAGGGGTGAATCGCATGCCAAACATACGAAGATTGTTGCTCAAGGTGTTCAGAAGACTCTGCATTTTGTCAGTGTCCTCGCCTAGAGGGACTATATCGTCCGCATATTCTAAGTCGACGAGATTATTCCCTGGTAGCAAGTCAATCCCTGAGTCTTTGAAGTGAGTTAGGGTTAAGTCCATGAGTACATCTATGGTGAAGTTGAATAGAAATGGGGATAATGGGCATCCTTGATGGACGCCACTAGTCGTCACCACTTCAGATGACAACTCGCCGTAAGCCCTCACCTGGCTGCATGAGTACGAGTAGAGTGCGTTAATCAGTGCAATGTATTTTCTTGGCATTCCCTTTACATCCAAGCATCGCCAGAGAACTTCTCGATAGACAGAATCGAATGCCGCCTTTCGATTCTGTAGTTATTATGTAATCAGTTCTCACTGGCTATTGGCCACTCATACTTATCATCAACTGCTAAATCAAACATATGGGAAATGAATATTTAATTTTATCTAATATATTTTATAAGTAAAAATGGCTATATACCCGTGACATTTTCCACCAAAAATAGACCGATGCTTTTTTTCTGACTAGTTTCCAAAAAGTACTATTATTTGCTCTTTTTTATTATATTTCGAATAGTTCCGCCCAAGATTTGACAACGTTAATATGTTTGTTTTTCCACTCAATTTAGAGTATGAGTACTCATCTTTCTTAACGAAAGATTTCACCAATATTGTTTATTTTTCTCTTGTTCATGATATTGTTGAAATATTTGACTTGTTTGTTTGTTTGTTTAACCCAATAGGTATGGTCAACGTCGTCGAAGAACTCGTTTCTCTCCTCAAACTAGTCGATATTCTAGACGAGGTTATTCACGTTCTCCATATTCTCAACCAATATATGGAGTTTCACCCTCAGAAGTTTATTATCATGATAACAAATATCGTGCAGAATTTGACAATAGACTACATAATGACGTTAGTGATATGCCGTAAGTACATTTTGTTTGACACTGATGTGTTTTAAACATTTCTAATACTTTGAATGATGTCTTGTTTGAGCAGGAGAAAAAGAGTATTTTGAGCTCTTTTTGACGTGTTTGTCTTCTCCCAGCTGGATGGTTATATGTCGAAGCTTTCATTATCTTTCTAGTCAACATCTTTAGTGCAAACATCAATATGAAGTGAATTTATTTGAATTCTTTATTAAGGATATATTTGTACCTAATGACAACCCTAGGAAGATATGCAAGTGAAAAGTAACAAGTTAGCAGAAGAAGCATCCAAAGAAGACAGAACTTCAGGTGAACATAGATAAAACAGAGGTGATGAAGATTCCTGGCCAACAGCAACAACAACAGACAACAATCGGCCAGCATAAATGGGAGAAATCTGAAAGAAGCAACCTTCTTTACCTACCTACCTAACTGGGAAGCATCATTTCGACTACAGGTGGATGGAACTGATGAGGATATCGAAGCGATGATCCGGAGAGCAAGGCAAACCTTCATTTCTCTCAAGTCTGTGTGGAGGTCAACAGCACTTATCACGAAAGATAAGATCTGGATTTTCAACTCCAATGTGAAATCAGTGCTACTATACGGATCAGAGACTTGGCGCGTTATGAAGAGCACCTCGAACGAACCGCAGACCTTCATCAACAACTGCCTTCGCTGAATACTCAAGATCAGACGGCCAGCCAGAAAAGATCAGCAACAGGAATCTCTAAAAATGAGTGCACCAACTCAGCAGGAACCAATTGTGAAACGAATGGGCGGGAAGTAATGGAGGTGGATTGGCCATACTCTGAGAAAACAAATCATCAAGTGACATCACACGCCAGGCCATGGCTCGAGTGGAACTTGAATGGTAAGGGGCGAGTTGGTCGTCAGTGTGTGGGTAAAATGGAGGAGGTCAGGTGAAAAGAAGATGAAAGCATGTGGTTAGACGTGGAGCCAGGTTAAAACGTTGACGGAGCACCGGACGCAGTGATGACGTGCAGCTAAAGCTCTATGTTCCTCTAGGAACTAAAGAAAATAATGATAATAATTGTTTTTATTAACTTGTAATTTGATATTTTCGTATATAGTTTATCCTTTATTGGTTATTAAGCTTGGTCTGTAATAATTGATCTGTTGATCGCAGATTCGTCTAACTACAAGGCTTCTGGAAATTCCCTGAAATTTTCAGTGTTCTCACTGTTTAAAGTTTCTACATTTTCCCATTCGAATCAGTATTCATAGCGTTACCTGCATACAGTGATATGAAGGGATTCGTACTGTATCCTTTCAAAGGTGGCTCATGTTCTCGGACTTGGAGTCAAAGTAAACGCCTACTTTGGCCAATATACTGTTTATCACAATTCAGGCAATCTATTTTGTGGATGGAATTGATGTTTTCTTTTCTTTCTTCTGCTACTGAGTTCAAACACATTGATCTAGATCATAGTTACCGATTAATAAAGAATAAATCACATTCAGAAACTTCAAATTCCAAGTCAATAAAAACTGTCACTTCTAATGCAAATTAATTATAAGTCACAATCAAGATCAATTTTCAAGTATTGGTTTTGTAGGGATTTTGTTTAATTGGATGGAGGGTTTCATCATGAGCTGATTTCAGTTAGATAACCATTTGAAGACCACCTGAGAGTACTGGACAGCTGTTTCATCCTAGTTTGGGGCTCTTCATCAGTGCGCACCCACTGCCAAGGTTCGAACCCATTGAGCCACTGGGATGCGACCCAATGGTCCATGAATTTTAACTTCTGCCATCTCACGATATAGCGCGACCATTTCGCAATGCCTTCTTCAATGAGTTGCTGCCTCATATTGAACATGCTGTACCCTACTGGTCCAGTACTCCCAGGTTTTCCAATGGTTCTCTAACTGATGTCAGCTCATGATGAAGTCCTCCATCCAGTCAAACAATCAAGATCGTTAGAAAATACTACTATATCATTCTAGGTGAATTCAAAGAAGGCGTACTTCATATTGAAGTTTGCACTGAAGATGTTGTCTAGAGAGACAATTAAACCTTCGCAATTAATCCACTCGAGTTGGAGAACACAAAACCACCATCTGAGCCACATATTTTCTCTATTATTTAGTTTTTTGTATATGAAAGCTGAGGAATTATTCAGCATTTTTCCGAAGCTCGTAAATCGTTAGTAAATTTACTATACAATTGCCACTTTATCAGTGTGAACTGAAATAAATTGCATACCTGTAGTTCATTTCATCCTATTTAGCTCAAGAAACTCTGAATAACTGGCAAATAGTTTAATTGTCATCTCTTCATGTAAGCTTGACTGGTTCATTTAAATAGACTCTTTAAAAATGCTTAACTGGTAATTATAGTTAAGTGTAGATATCAGAAAGCAGTGTTATACACACATTATTGTTATTATCACTATTGCTTAATCCCCTTTACCATTATTTCTACTATCTTTAATTCTCATACTGTCTCTTTTCGTTTATCGCATTTTATTTATCCATGAGTGCACATCATCTCATAAACAAATAACCTGGTTCAAATTTATCAAGGGAGAAATAATTGTAGGATTGTGTTCACTTTATGGTAGAATAAAAAGATGAATAAGTATACATTATATCTGCATCACGCCATATACTACTGACTGGTTGGCGTGAGTAGTTGGATAACTCTTACACTGATCAGTAGTGCTTGTAGGGACCTAAACTCAGGGCGACTGTTACGTTGGTTTGAGGTTGAGCTCATACACAGTTTACCTCACCTCAAATAACCGAAAGGGGTGAACTGGTAATAAGTTAGGTTTGCGAACTGCGAATTTGATACAGTATATTTTACAATAGTCTTCGTCACTTATTTAAATAAGTGTGGGACTCAAACACCCAGAGTATAAATTCCTATAATCGGCATCAGATTTTGAACGGAACGATTGTTCAGTGCCGTCTATTTTTTTATTACTTTACGTTCCCAGTGGAATATAGGGCTTCAAGCTAGAATCTTGAAATTTCGGTAGCGGCGGTGTTTATTTGTTTTTACGGGATGGGGTAGCTAGCTGCCGTGTCCAACCTTCCCTCTTTACCAGTCTTATTACTGGTTTGACAAGGTAAAGGAGTGCGTCTGTGGTCGGGGATCGAACCCCGGACCACATGCGTGGTCGGCAAGCATTCTACCACCGTGCCACCGACGCACGTCCACCTTTTTGCACAATATCTTTCCCCATAGGCCACATTCTTTCTCATCGTTTCTCATTCTAATTGGAACAAAGAGCTTCAAGCTTTTAAGTTTTAGCGTTCCTTCTTTCTGGAGCTCAGTTAGTTGGCTGGAAATCGAACTCAAACCTTTCGTCTACCTAGTAGACACTTAACCATTGGACCACTGACCATGCATAATTATTTACTTTTGATTTTTAACTAGTGTCTTTAGTCTACAGACTTTCCAGTATAATACATATATATATATATATATATATATATGACTTGGGTAATACTCTTATTACTATTGTTTTGAACAGTAAACAATGTTTCCCCATCTATACAAAATATTTTATTTCAGATAGTCAATATACTACTGACTTATGAAACAGAAAGCATATTGTACTCTAAAGTGGTATGACCATTTGACCTATTATTTTTCCAAATTTTATATCAATATATATGTATATATATAAATACATACCATTGTTTGCCTAATCTATCTTAAACGACCTATTTAACGGGTTCTTTTTTGCTCCTCTCCCTTAGTTGACCTTGAAATGTTAAAATAATTTAAAAGAAACGTCTTTAATTTATGTTTACTTTTTATTTCTAAAAAAAATTTTTCTTTTTTTCGCTCAGTTCAAATTATGGTTGCTCCTGTGAATCAGATTATGAAGTTGACACAAAGATTATTTGGTATGTAAATACTTTTATTTCTTCTTTTTGTTTTATTATTATTTATCATTATTAGCGTTATCTCTACATGCGTTTGTTTGTTTGTCTTACTTTTCAAATCAAAAAGGGCTGTTCATTTAAATTATCTTCATACAGTGGTCGTTTGCCAATCATTCTCCATTTTTATTGGTCCATAGATTAGTTAATTGACTAATAATTGGGGAATATCATATCCGCAGTTTGTAGTGTAACACATTTCAGAAAGGAGATGTTTCACTACCGCAGTTTCCTGTGGAAACCAAAATTATTCAGGACACCATATGTGATTGGTCTGATGCCATAAATAGTAATGAATAAAGCAGGCATAATTTCATAGTGTTATATATTACTGACTGGGTGAGATGAGTAGTGTTTGCTAGCCATATCCAAGTGATCTAGACATTGGGATCCTGTTTCACTCGTTTTGGGGCTGATTCTATCAGCGGTGTATCCGGATTTATTCAGCTTGAAGAACTGAACCAGTTCAGACCACCAGACCTCTGACTAGCTGCTTGTGCAGACTGAAAACACCTGATGAGCTCGGCCCCAAATGGGCGGAACGACTGTCCGGTGTTTATATTACTTCGATGATATGGTTAGCAAGCAACACTGGTTGATTTTAGTACTTTACAAGTACTTGCGTCAGTCTATCACCAGTACAAAGTTTTTTTTGATTGCACACTAGTCAGTAACTAGTGTAATGTGTCTAGTCCTATCTTCGGTGCAGACTGAATTCTATCAGTCAGGTCAGTCGCGAGCCTGAATAGCTCAGTGGTAACGTCTGTGACTGCAGCACTGGGTGACGCGGGTTCGAATCTCAGAAGGGATATGAGTTCCTTCAAGGTCGCAGATACGCCTTGCTGATAAGTGCCAACTAGCACGAAACCTAGGTCCAAGGCTTCCTGCCGATTGCCTCCAACCATCTAATACCAGTACAAAGTTTCATACAACTTGAAAGCATAGTCATCCTAAACATTCTCCCCGTATAGGCGATTACTGTTCAATGATAATAATAACATTATGTGTTTTACACCAACTGAATAATTCACTTACACAGGCTTTCACAAACGGTGAATTTTGGAAAATAAAGTTCACTACTTAGCTGACAATAGTTCAGGAACCAGTTTCAGCTAAAAGGCACTGTGAATAGCTGTTTTACAAGATTTGTAAATTCCTGAAAAATGTTGAAACTTTAGATCTTAACAAATGATAAATTATGCATAAGGTAATCACTACTGTGTGCTTCCGGGGATGACATGGAAAGGATTGTGTGAGGAGGAGGAGATGAGAGCTTATAGTCTGTCGTCTAAAGGCCATCTAAACAGGTGTGGTGCTATCATTGATGAGGGCAGCTGACTAATTTTCATCATCAAAAAGTTATTATTATTGTTCCTTTGGGTTCCTAGTGGAACATAGGGCTTCAACTGCACGCCTCCACTTGCTTCTGTCTTCCGATGTACTTTTCACTTGCATCCATGTTATTCCATACTGTTTCAGTTCCTCATAACACGATCTCCTCCATGTCATCCTTGGACGTTTCACTCGCCGCTTCCCTTTCGGGTTCCACTCGAGCTATGGCCTGACGCGCGATGTCACTCAACGGCCTCCTCAGCGAGTGTTCAATCCATCTCCACTTTCTCCTGCATATTTGTTGAGCGATTGGTTCTTGTTTTGTTTGTTCCCATAGTTTCTTGTTGGTGATTCTTTCCCGCCATCTGATCCTCAATATAGAGCGAAGACAGTTGTTGATAAAGGTCTGCAACAGGCTGTTGGAAATATTCTTTGTGACACACTGGCCAAGTTTCTGATCCGTATAGAAGAAGTGACTGACTTGACGTTTGTATTGAAAATCCGAATTTTGTTGTTGATGCTGAGTGACGAACATTTCCAGATTGCTTTTAGGTTGATGAATGTGTTTCTTGCTTTTCTGATTCTCGATTTGATATCCTCGTCCGTTCCTCCTGTAGTTGAGACAATGCTCCCTAGATAAGTGAATGAAGTGACCTCTTTCAAATCCCGTCCGTTGATGGTGATTGGCGTTGGATGTTGCTGCTGCTGTTGTTATTGTTTTTGGTTGGTTGTTTATTTTCATAACCTCCGTCTTGTCTATGTTCACCTGGAGTCCTGTCTTTGCTGCCAGCCTCTTCCACCAGTTTGTCGGTTTTCGCTTGTAAGTCTTCGATTTTGTGTGACGTCAAACATAAATCATCCGCAAAATCCAGGTCTTCTAGATTTTTCACGTCGGTCCAGGATATCCCTGTTTTCTCGTTTCCCTTGTGTGTGACGCATAATCCAGTCCACCACAATTAGGAATATCATTGATGATAATAAGCACTCTTGTCTTACTCCTTTGTTTACTGCAAACGCCTCGCTGAGTTTTCCGTTATGGATCACTTAACATGTGCCGTTGTCGTACAGCTGTTGAATAAGGTTGATGAATATTTGGGGTACACCGTAGTACTCGAGTAGTTTCCAAATTACTTCGCGGTCAACGCTGCACTGTCGAAGGCCTTCTCAAAGTCTATAAAGTTATCTAAATTACAATCCCCTGAGAGGTTTCAGGTGTATATATATATATATGTTATTAGGAATTTTAAAGAAATCATTATTTGTGCGTCATCAAAGTCCAAATTCTTCCCATTGATGGTGACTGATACTTTGTGTTAGCGGTGAGGTATCCTCACTACGTCCGTCTTCTTTATGTTTACTTGGAATCCTGTGTTCGCTGTTTCTGCTGTCAACTTGTTCGTTATCGCCTGTAGATCTTTGACTTTGTGTGGCATTAAGCATTAACAGTCTGTAAAGTCCAGATCTTCTAGAGTCTTCTTGTCGATTCAACATATTCTTGTCTTCTCGCTCTTCATGGTCTACCGCATAATTCAGCTCACCATAAACAGGAATATCATACACTACTAATCGATCTTAGCCACTGATAATCATTCACATTAACCGATTGTTCTCTTCCAGCCATACTGAAGTGATCTAGTCGTCTGCCAGCTACATCGATTGTTGTTAGACCAGTGAGCCGAATTAGTTCAAAACCTTGAAATTCTAGCCTCTTACTTGAGCAAGATGATAGAGAATAAAAAGGTAGCTGATCTCTATGATATTGCAGGTGATATCAAGAAAAGTAGTACGAAACAGCACATACGACTGAAAAGTGCTTTCGTTATTGTTGATTAGTTTAACATAATAAACAGGATGCCTTATAGAAGCATTTTAATCAGTATTGAACAATCACTTGTAAATTAGTGCAGCTATAATGAATAAATAAACTTTGCTGTATTTAGACTGCTTTGCATAGATTCATGGTTTAACTGTAGAAAAGGCATATGCTCCACTTCTGATGCTACTTTCTCTCCTGAAAAGAAATTTCAACAAACAGTAGAATCCATCGTTTTGCTGAATAAAGTATGAAAAACACCCTTATCTCTCTCTTTTTTCGTTTGATGACATCGGTATTATTGTCAAGATAGAGGATAACCGCCGAATCTATTTCACCTCACAATGAGAAATAAACAGGAAGCTTGTCTTTAAAGTTGACAGTGTCATGTAATTTGGTATTGAATTTGGTTTGTTATCTCCTTGTTACTGCACAACCCTAAATTATTTTGCTAGTATGGTGTTAAAAAACTTTTTTCACTGTATTTTATATTCTACGCTAGCTTTGATCAAACACAAAGTTACAGTCCGATAGGTATAAGTTATCAGTTAGAAGCTTCGAGTCCTAGTGTCTGTAAACCTTCATTAGCCTTAAGGTGAGTTTATCTTGCATATCTATATGTTGTTATTCTTTTCACTGCCTTACATTTAATTCATGTATAAATTTTATAGTACTTTTATGAATGTATGACTCAGAGTTGGTTCTAGTGGGGTAAACCCATTCCTACTTTACTATCCTCCGTCTTATATTTCCCTTATTGTACTTCAGTAGTTGGGTTTTATTATTTTTATTCAAGTGTTGGTTTGCCGGGATTTGATTGCTCACAGGATTTCCACATGAGCTGAGATCAGTTAGAGAACCAGTGGAAAAGCAGGTAGTACTGGATAGCTGTTTCGCCCTTGTTCGGGACTCTTCAATAGAACGCACTCGTCAGGGTTTGAACCCAGGACCTTACGGCTATAAGGTGAGCTCGTAGACCATTACGCCACCTGGACCCGATCCAATGCTTCATTGTAAGGTCTTAGAATGTTTGGATATATGTGACATTGACATTATATCGAGCCATGTGAAATATTTTCTCTGCATCGTAAAAATGGATGCATGCAGACATGTAGTAATTATCCAAATAGAATAAATCCTATTGTCCGTAATCCTCAAATTTTACAACATAATAATCTAGAAGACCTTGATATATATATATGCATACCATTTCCTTACATCGTTATAAAGTACGATGCGATATTATTTTATTATTATTCCCTTGAATTCCGCAGCAGCACATCTCCGTTTTGTGCTGTTCTCTGCAGTTCTCTTCAGCTGGTCTCACGACTACCCGTAGTCTCTCGTCTCCTACTCAAACGATCTCCTCTACATCACCGTCGGACCAACGCACCACTTGTCGTTTCACTGTAGGTTCTGCCACGTGATGTCACCCAACGGTCTCCTCAGCGTGTGTTCGATCCTTCTCCATTTTCCTTCGGGAAATTTGTTGAGCAAACGGTTCTTGATTGGTTCGTTCCTAGAATTTCGTTTTGTCCATTTGACCTTCAGTATCGAGCGAAGGCGTCTGTAGATAAAATTCTGTAGTGATATACGTGAGAATAAATATGTTTAATGAAGCACCATTCAACGGAGAAAATTTCTTCTTGATGATACCATTATTATTTTACCAAGCAGCCTCTTGTAAATGAATGCTTTTATTAGGTGATTTGTCTGTCTTAAGCGAATGAAAGGCTTTCACCTAAGTTTTCTTGCCCTTCGACATTCACAGACAGAGACAGTTTCCTGGTTGTCTTTTCCAATACAATAGAATTATTTCTTTACTTCAGTACTAAGTGATCCATGTCTCACTTTCACAGTTTCAGAGATGTTTTCTCTCTATCAATATTCACCAAAACAAAACATAATTTGAAAAATTTCAGTTAGCCAGTGGAATCTCGGCAAGAAAGATTAATAAAGGAGTAATATTAATATTTGCTTGTTTGTTGTACGTGCTCAAACATCACTTATCTGAGTGAAGTATTTAACTGTACTAAAACAAGATACAGTTAGTTATCTTGGTGGTAAGCTAATACTAATAAGCTATGTGTCAGGCAAACAAATAGCTATGTGGTTAGCTAAAATAATCACTGTTGTCTCACTAAAAATCTTTTTTATACGACTGTTTGATAACAGATTTCATCGTCATGACGTCTGCGCTTCCATCATTTATGTTTTACTCTAGACTAACAAACTTTGAAGATCTCGGTAGCTAAATCCATCTGGTATCAGTTTTGGTACGGGCTAAAATAGAATAATAATGTATCAGCGATTATATGTGTATACAGATATATTTAGGCTCATGTTATGATTGCTTATGAATAAGACGGAACTAACTAATTTTAGCATGACATTTCATGTTATCTCATTCTGTGTAGACATTTATTTATTTATTCTGATCGAGTAGTAGATAAGCGCTGCTTATAGATACATATATAAGTTGAAAAAGGAGATATATATGTTCAAGCTCACAGACTATAACATTTCTTTTAACCCACTCACTTTATATCTCTTCGCCTTAGAACAATGAGAGTGAGGCTGAGTACTGTGTTGCTTATATACACCAGAAGCATGCTGATTTTCTAGATTGCTTATCTCTCTTGTCAGTTCTTTGTTTTTTATTTCAACGTTAAGATGAATAATTCCTATTGATGTTATAGACTATTGTTTTCACTTACTTCCTTATACCTTCCTGTGTTGTTGTTGTTTTTTCTCTCCTCAGTCGATCAAGCTCTCCAACTCGTACGTATAGTCCGAATGTGTGTCTTAAAGTTATTAGGTAAGTATTATGTATAGACTAACGATGATATCCTACAATTTATGCAATAAAATTCGACATAAGTTAAGATTTGAACACAAGAAACCAGAGTATATTTGAATAGGCTAGTCACATTCAGGATATATATGTATATATATAGACATTATTGTGAAATACTGAGAAGTATTGAGGAGTTTATGGTTGTGGAAGCATAGTTACTACTTTATATTTCATACGTTTGGTACTGTACAGTGAGTTTCCCTTAAATGTTGTTAAGTGTATGTTTAGTAAACTGAAAAGTTGATGCATTGAAAGGCAATATAAGTCAATTTCAAGTATTGGTTTGTAGGGATTCGATTGATTGGTTACAGGATTTCATCATGAGTTGACATTGGTTAGAGAACCAAACTAGGAAGAAACAGCTGTCCAGTATTCCCTGCAGGTTTTCCAATGACTCGCTGACCGATGTCAACTCCTGATGAAATCCTGTAACCATAAGTCAATTTATTAGGAATTATAATTTTTTCTGTATTATAACCTGCTAACTTCTAGCCTGTCACTTCTTAATTATTAGCATTACTTTCAAGTAATAAGTGACAAATACGTTTTGCTTCTGTAATTCGCTGCAACAGTACACTGCATCTCGGTAATAAAAGGTACTTTTCTACTTAGAAACCTTTTACATTTCAGAGGACTCATTCTTCCTTGACTGTTGAAGTCATTCATGCACTTTAGTTTTACTTTCTCTCACCTGACGTACTCTAAGACACTAAGTTGGAGAATTATACGTAGATTTTCCCTTGTCTAAACGTCGTTGTTGCTTTTTTGATGACTCTATAGTACACATAGAGCATAACATGTTTATGTATACTGAGAAACTAATTTGTCTATAGAGTTCAGACATTTTTTTACCGAATCACCAAAGGAATCCAGTTTTTAAAGGTGTCATTCAAAGTTTTAACTAGTCAACAAAATTGTCTTCCATTTATGTTGGAAAATAACTCTCAATTATCTTCCTATAGTTGGTTTGTAAGGATTAGTTTTGTTTTTACGAGTTGATCACCGATTGATATTAGTTAGAGAACCATTGAAAACCAGCACTGGAGTACTGGACAGCTGTTTCATCCTAGTTTTTTAGGAATCATCGGCAGCACGCACCCACTGAGGTCGAACCCAGGACCTTCCGGTTACAAGGCAAGTTCGTATACCATTTCAATGATTCTCTGACTGAAATCAGTCCGTGATCAACTCTCAATTATCTCCCATTACACATCATGGAGTATACACATTATATCATAGGAAATATTAAAAGGACGGTTGTAGAGAAGCAAATTTTCTTTTTGACGAATTCAACGACCAGGTCGTACATTCGTGTATTTATAGTAATTGGGAATGAGGAAGTTCTAGAACTGTTCCCAGTCAAGGGTCAGATTAATAAGACTGAGGATTAGGATTATAGTGTAATAATAACAAAATAAACAGAAGGATCCGTTTAAAAACATAGTGGGATCATAATTATTGGGAAAATTTACATTTTTGTGCAAATAGGGATTAAAAACATAGTCATAACAAAAATAAACAGAAAGTTTGTATGATTAAGGAAATAGGATAAACATCATTGATAGAGTTGCCTGTTTATGATGGCCCATGGCAGAGACAGCTATTGGATACATAGCATGGGCTTAAACTTTTGGATCGCTACTGCCTCAACTATGCTTCCTTTGAGAGGTCTGACCTGATCTTGTCTATGACTCTGAATAATTTTCAAAATTCATCTGAGTGTCCTGAGTTCTCCAGATGTCCTGTTGTCAAGCTATGTGTACACCTGCTGGATAGTGTTCCGCAGTGCGTTTTACAGACGGACGCATGGTACGGCCAATGTACTAAGCTCCACAAGAGCAAGCAAAGTGATACACGAATGTTGAAGTGGTCCAATACATATCAGTGCAGAGCCTGCCAATCTAACTTCATCATACATACTAGCTGGGCAGCTAGTCTGGTTATAAACAGAAAGCTACCTGTTATTCATTCACATTACAACTAGAAATCGGTCTTGATGATTGCAGTAAAAAGCTGACATGGTTGATAAATGGTAGAACACCAGGTTGGCTCTCTGAAGTCTGATAATTGAAATCTTGCCCCAACTCAGATTATCATTTCATGTTCTGTCACCACCCGTTACATCATTGACAATCTTCTAATCCAAGGCTACACACGATAGTCCAACTATTATCAAACAGTATTCTTGTAACATCTTCAGAAGAGTGGAATTTTCTCTAATTTGTACATGCTTTTTGTTTACTGCTGCGACTCAATAGCTAAGTCTAACAACAAAGTTCTTGTTTATTTCCTTTGCTTATCATTCAAATGCCTTGTTAATGTCAACTATAGTTGTATTAATGTTACTTTACTCGTCTGTGCATCCATATGTAATTCTATTCAAACTAAAGATGACATCTTCATCTAAATGTGGATTGCGATTCAGAAGCTTGTTACAAGTCTAGGTACTAGCCTGTGAAATATATTTCATGAAAGGTGTATGATACTACATAATTACCATGACCGAATAGTTGGGATTTTTGTAATTAATTATTGATTTTTCACTGTTTCACTACTGTTTTGTGTAATACTTCCATCCTTTCTCAAAAGCAAATACCATTTTTATGTTTATTTAGTCCTGAATTAGTTAAAAATGATTTTCGTGCATCTGCGGAAGCTGCTGTCGCTCAACATTTGCCTCCCGGTGAACATCCCGCTGATTTACACTTTGTAAATGTCACTCCAATCCCAGTGACATCTTCAGTAGTATCGACAACCATTTCATCTGAACAGAGTAATATTCCCATGAAACAGGTTACTGATAGTTCATGGGATCGTTTAAAAAGCGATGCTACCACCAAATACCAATCGAATGCACCATTGCCAACAGACAACGTCACATCTCCTTCAAAATATCAGTTAAACATGGCTCAAGACAGTTTATGGCAGTCTACTGAGAAAAACAAAGTAATCTTTAGCAATGAACCCCCTGTTGTGCCTACATTTTCAGTTAAACCTAAAACGGATTCTGTCACTGTAAAATATGATACTTTCAAGACAGAAGGAATGACTCAAAAACAAGGTAATGACCATTTGTACTGTCACGTATTGATATTACGATATTTATATTCACATTGTGGAAATTTCTATGTATTTTGTGCAAAACAAATTTCGTGGTTTTAGTCTACTCAAAGGTTTGAAAAATTCTCTTCAGCATTTAAAAAAATGTTTTTGTTTGGTTCAATGGTAGGAGCTTCCGCCTTATTTATTTGGAAATCTGATCATTTTGGTCGCAATGCACGTAAGCATCAGAAGATACACCGTTCATCCTTATTACAACTCATTGCTTGGTGTATACTCACCCTCCATCTCGAACTGTTTCTCGATAACATCTTGATCAAGACAAACTTCCGTTCTTAATTATTTTTCTACTATATACCGTGATACTGGCATCAGGGAATCAAATGTTTCTCGTTGTACAGTGGCCATATACTGAATGTCACTGACACTTCAGAAAAGTTTACAGTAACCATGCTTCTTGAGTTTCCATATATAATTACAAAAGATTTATATATACACAGCTTATTGTCCTCACAGTGCCGATAATCTCCCTGACTACATTGAACTGGATTATTTGGCACATGGTAGGGAGTAAGAACATCGGTATATATCGGACTGACAAAACAAAGACTCTTGGAGATCTTAATTTCTCAGATGGTTTATGTCTTATGCCGTATAAACTTGAAGATTTACAAGAGCAATCCAACAGGTTGTTAAAAGAGGCGTCGAAAACAGGAATCCAGGTGGGCGTAGACAGAAATGGCGAGGATGCTGAACTGGCAACTGGCAAGCGCTAATCACTAGAGGAAGTTGTCTGCTTCTCCTGCAAGAAACGCTCAGAATCGTTCCAGTTACATGTGGCACAGATGAGCATCTCAAATCCAGCCAGTATTGGATGGCAAAAGCAAGACTGGTGTTCACTATTCTTAAATCAATGTGAAGATCTACAGTACACAGCACAAGGAATAAGATCCTAACTTTCCGCACTAATGTCAAGTCAGTACTTCTACATGGTTGAATAACTTCTCGTGCTTATGACCAGACTAACTTCCAACTGGCTTGATTCTGAAGATCAGATGGCAGGCCGGAACTCTGCCAGGCAGCAAACTACTGATTTGCCTATTACCCAGCAGATATGCAGCAGATGATGGATATGTATTTGAATACATTGAGGAGACTTGCAAGTGACTCTACACTCGAGGCTATACAGAAGCACTTGAATGGGAAGCGACTGCTTGGCTGTCCCAGTGTGGCATAGTGGTGTGCGCGTGAGCAAGGAATGCAATCTTCCAGGCACTTGTGGAGACATTTGAGAGTGAAAACAGGCAAGTGAGTGCAATGGAGATGTGTCCCTGAAGTTCTGTGTCCAGTTAGGAACTTAAGGGATGATTAATAAAGAAAATGGTACTGTTCTCACTGTACCAGGAAACACCCATGGTGATGACACCTCATCGGTTGCGTCGTACCAGTTAACACAAGTTCCTTCATTCATTTATAGACTTTTACTGGATTTACTAATTAACTTATAACCTTGACGTTACCTATTATGTTTAAAACCAAGCTAATTAAAAGAATCGCGTGAAAAACTATCGAGATGAGTTTTATTTGTGGATTATCGTGCATTGCATTGTACATTCTCATTAAAAACCTGTTTCTCACTCATTAGTTCCTGCTCTTATCTCACATTTTTTAATTAAAATTTCATAATATGCGTACTCGCACGGGTAACTAGTCACATTATCTATGAATTCCTCTTTTCTGCATTGTTATAAGGAAATATTAAGATTATAATTGTTCTAATCAAATTTATATTTATTTTCCATATTATAAATCCTTCCAGAAATTCCAACAAAGCCAATAACTACTACGACTGCCAACCAATCCTCTGTCAGTTATACAACCACTGCTAGTGTAAATTTACAAGGTCTGTGGGATCAGAAGTCAGCTTTCAAACCAGTAATACGTTCCTTAGAAGCTGCTAAAGTAAGTGAATAAAAATGACGTTTCCAGTGGACACTAGTCGTTTGATGTTTTTTCTGTTACAGTGTGTAAAGTTTCAATTCGAAATAGGCATTATGTAATACCTTCCTACCGCCATTTCGCTTCCTTGTATATATATATATATATATATATATAAGTATGCAATTCACTTCCGTGAAGCTTGCATCTGCCATCTATATATATTTGAACAACAACATGCTGAATACAGTCTCATTGCATCAGGCAACGAATTGAATTAGATGAATCCGAAAATTGGATTATGACTTTATTAATGGAAAAAAAATAACAATAATCAGAGCATATGGCACGAATTATTATCAAAATGATAATGTTCATGAATATTTTCCAAAAATAAAATTATACAAGATGTTGACTAACTACAAGTAAATAGTAATAACATAAAATCTTAACATAAGGTAATATTGAAGTCAATTTGTGGATGGTGACTAACACTGGAATCCAGGATGAGCTTTTCGTCCTATCTGGGACTCGTTATCTGGATGTACCTACATTCCCCAGTGAGTGAATGATAGTGTACCCACCGAGGCTCGAACCCAGTGCCCATAGTTTCAAATGTCAAAGGGTTATCCACTAGACACTTTGCATAAGAGGTGGCTCTCGTGGCCCAAGTGGTCCAGTGGATAACACTCTGAGCCTCGGTGGGAACATCATCACTCGCCGGGGAATGCAGGAATATCCAGATGACGAGTCCCAAATAGGATGGAATGCATATCCTGGATTCCGCTGCTACTCACCATCCACCAGTTGACTTCAAGTTACATGACCAGATATCGTTGAAGCATCTGCACAAGTGGCCGACATGTCAACCTGATACCGAGCACTTCAGTCAAATCAATCGACGCGAAAATCTAAATTGAATTAAATCAGGTAATATTGTTTAAACTGAGAAAGCTTTAAATGTATTACAGTTATTCTAGTTTAATTTACCAACTGTTATATATGGTCTAGTTATTAAGTCATCCCTCTACCAAGGAGATTCATCCTGCTCAGATGTAATCCCTCGTAGTCATTTTACTTTGAGTATATCTACAGGGGGGATCGTAGTGCATTTTCTAAAATTTACATCAACTATGTTAACTTTTGAATAAAGCGAGAATAATGGTTTGTGTAGAATAAGATGGCACCATCATTTATTTCGTAGTCTTCTCATCAGCTGCATACAGTTCTAGAAGAAGTTATTAAGTCTATGTACAAAATATTTTTTACATATCTGCAAATGTTACATAATGTCAGTTGATGTTTGTAGATCACATCAGTTAGCCTGTCATAATGTCTGAGTTCTTTTAACTTAATAGACTGATTAATCACTCTGTGATGATAGTAAGACATTTCTTATTACAGAATAAGTTGTGGTAGTTTATGTAAAGATTGAATCGTGTTTTGAATATTAGCTTAGATCGCGAACTGACGTCACTAAGTTTGGGGCTGTTTAGAAATAAGCAACTATGGTCCCACCAGGGATCAACCCCATAACCTCTCAGTTTCTAGGCAAGTCCGTTGACCACTCTACGGTTGGGATGCAATCCAATAGTCCATGAATTCTAACTTTAGTCAGTTGGCTATATTTAGTGTCACCGTTACCCAATTCACCGACGAGTATCTGTCCTCACATCCAACTTAGTGAACTCCACTGGTCACGACTTCCCACTAAACCTCCAGTAACTCCGTCTTGGTTTTATACTCCGCTCACTTCCCTGTAGTCTGTTAAGACAAAAATGACCAACCCAAGACGACAAACTACAATGAAATGTTCTGCGTAACTGATGGCCACATCGGTATCTAAACAGACACATTTCTCTTGAGTCGTTTTGTAGTTCCTTGAGGCTGAAACTTTAAGTTTATGAGTGTAGGAACACCTTTTGTTTTAATGAATTCCCAATCTCTTATGAGTTGATTCGGTATAGTAATGCAGTGATGGTACAGTGGTCAAGAAGTAACTGTCCAGTATCTTTCACTAACACTTTACATATGAAAGATTCTGTATAACGACGAATGTCTATCCTCTAGGATTTAGAATTAATTACTTGTTGTCAACGTGCCCTAATAAGGATGTAGTCACAATACATATCCATCTTTCATATTGTATTTACTAAGTTGATTTCTGCGACTACTTGACCTTTGTTTTCCTTTTTTTCTTTTCCTCTTCCAAAGGATCGATTTTTCTCAAGTAATTCATTGTTCCCAACATTCTCACAAGCAAAACAGTTTCCTGTAGTAACCCAATCAGGGATCGAGTCAACAAAAGCAGCTAATATCTCTGACAGAAGTGCTGTACTCACTACAAGTCAAATAAAAATGTTTCCAAGTAGTGTCAATAAAGATGTTGCCAATATCCCTATATCCAGTGATGAGTTTTCAGCCTTAGTCCCTCCACCGGCAAAATCATCTTCAAAGTTATCAACTTCTGAGTTCGATTTATCCAGCTTAAAGTATGACGGCTTTAAAACTGCTAACACCTCTTTTGAACCAAGCAATAAATTCTTACCAATTAAAGATTTTAATGATAAATTACCATCTACTACAGTCATTACACCGAGTCCGTCAACCACCAGTGATAATATTTCTATGACTGCCAGCACGCAAAGGACAACTACCTTCACAACTGCTGCTGGGTACACTCGAGGTTCTGAAATCGACACTGCTTACAATGCAGTGGATAAGACAAGTGTAGGAGACCATTACACATCATCGCAATATGCACTAACAACCAAATATACACCATCTGAATCAAATTATGGTGATGATTCTAAATCTAGTGTACCAAAGTCATCGTTTTATCCTGAAATCTCACGCCCACCATCTCCCAAGGTATTCAAGGAATCTGCTTTTGACATTCCACTGAACTATGAAAAGCAGTCTACATTTAGCGCCGAAGAACATCTTAAAGCATTAAGAATAAGAGCAGGTCTAGGTCCTATACCAGGATATGAATCTGCATCACTGAGAAATGCAGCTTCAATGACACCATTATCAACATACAACTCAAGCTATTCACCTACTCTTCCTTCGTATAGTGTCTCCTCTTCAAAGCCAGGTCGATTTGACTCAGAAACCAATCTTCCGAAACCTACCTATTCCATTAACATAAATTCTTTTGTCCCAAAAATGCAAAGCTCCAGTACCTCAACACCGTCTATCCCATCTTTCATCTCTAATTTCAAATCAGGCCTGGTTGGACCAATAAGTAAAATTCAACCACATTCAGGACCATCTTCCTCATCGAACCAGTCATCGGCAGCAGCAGCAGGAAACAGACCTTCCGCATCAAGTATGTTTTCTAACTTCCTTACGTCGGCGGCTTCAAAAGCTCAAACAGTAGCCACAGGTGCTTTGAAACAAGCGAATGCTGCAGCTGATGCCGCAAAAGTGGCCGCCAATCAGGCGGCTGAACAATTCGTAGCCCAAGCTAATCAAGTACATCAAAGAACTGCTAGTCAAATGCAGCATCAACAACAACAGTCACAACCAAAACCTCCTGTTCAGCAATCGAATATACAAACTAAAGACATCACTATGAATAACATTCCCTCATCTGTTAAACTTGCTAGTGACACTATTACAGCCGCTAATCAGTCAACCATATCACTAGAGCAAAAAGATACATTCGAAGAAAATATGAAGAAAGCTCAAACAACTGATCATACAGTAACTAAAAACTATCAGCCAGAAGGTCAAGATCAACGCCAAGAACAACCACGACACTGGTTACATGAACAAACTATGGATGCTACTACAGATGATGACTACGATGATGCAGAATTTGTTTATGAGCAAAATCCTTATGAATCCGATGATCAGAGACAAATTTCTGATGATTGGGGTGATCAATATTTATCACCTGCAAATGAATATGATGACCAAGCAGATGTTAGGCAAGAATTATACGAAGACGACGACGTCGATGACAGATATCGAAATATTCAGTCGAAAGCTTTAGATGGTGGTGCGTACAATGAGGATATTAATTCACAGGCCTATTTATCAGATTTATCTGATCCAGACGCTGTGCGTGCACTACGTAGTCGTGATAAAATGATGATGGTTGCAGCGACTGGGATTTACTCGCCTGTGCCTAATGGACCAAATCAACCGGGTTTCTTTGATGATATGAATGAGCTAGGAGATCAAGATGATTTCGATACGGGAAAAAGGTTGAAGAGTGAACGCAGACAACTTAGTCAAAGTAAGAGATTTTTAGTAAAAATTTATTATGCATCGAGTTTTCCAGGATGTATTCATGTCAATTTATCGAAATATGTGTATTTTCCACAAGTTATCTATCCTTTTTTCAAGCTTGCCTTCTAATCTGAAGGTCTTATCTTCGAACCCCGGTGGTTGTTTACTGCTGATGAGTCCTGAACTAGGGCAAAACATCGTTTCAAAACTGCCTAGGTTTCAACGGTTCTCTAACTGATATCAGTCCATGGCCAAACTTGAAACGTATCACTTCTTCAATAATCAGTTTAATACACGTCTAATTGTTTTGAAACAGAATTGGAAAGCACTTTAATTAATGCGTACTAATGTTTTAGACAGAATCTTGGAGAAAATATTTCCCCTTGACAGCATGTTTAGCGTGACACTGAATAATCATTTTCTCCACTTCTACATTCATACTGTTTCGTAATTGATCGATATTTGAGATATAATATCACAAGATGTGTTGTATACATACTTGACCACTATTTCATCTTAGTTTGAGACTCTTTACCAGCATGCAAAGATAACCTTATCCGGGATCGAACTCGTGACCTTCAAGTTACTAGACGAGCGTTGTAGTCATCTTACCACTGGGACAAAATATTGTCCACTAGACCACAAAGATAAAAAAAATTGGGTGTAATCAACATTTGTTTCATCCCAATTTAGAACTCTTCATCTGTGTGCACACATTATCCTATCAGTGATCGAACTCATGTCAAAGCAATCTCGTTGACTATTGGACAAGTGAGATGTGTCGATGGTTAAATGGTAGAACGCTGGATAGCTGTGCGGAAGGTGTGAGTTCGATCGCCGGGCAACTCTCTCCTGAACCTCGCCCAGCATAGCAGCAGGTAATAAACTCAAAAAAGAGAGAAGTTTGGATATCAGGCTAGAATTCTCACCCAGTGCGAAAATACAGTAACGCAACTAATAAAACCTCAAAGTTTAAAATCCTATTTTCCACCTAGAATACAAAATAACAAAATAAACCGAAAGAAATATCTGTTTTAAGCATCATTATTTAACTAAAAGATGGTTATCCAAACTATACGGGCAGATCATTTGAGTCCTAAAAGCCGATTAAATATAGAAAGAAATTAATGTAATTATAGAATAAAATCAAATGTGATCGAATGGCAGTCCTCAATTTTCTTGCTTACCCATTGCTTATATACTCAGTGAACACTATACTACTACAGGGTAGCAATCTTTTGGTAATCTTTTGTCCTGTAAGAGAAGATAGCATTCAAATATTGATGTCAACGATGATACTGAAACGTTCTCAAACCGAAACTTCTCAGTTTTGAGAATGGTCATACACTCCTCCTTCTCCTTGTTTTGACTTGAACACTTTGTCTACCATCTTGAGAATGAATGGCATTTCTAAAATCATTAAGCCAGTGTACGTTAACCACTATACGTTTTCGTGATCTCTGCATTAAGTGGTTTAGTTAAGTCTCATTTAACTCAGCTGTCAAAAACAGAAGACACTGTGTTCAATAATAAGTTAAACTCTTCATTACTTTACACATTGTTAAATCCATTTCCCCTTTAAAACTGGAATACAGAGGCATGAAGGGAAATTGCTGCCTTCATTTTATCATACTCTTTGTCTTGTTCTGTATGTCTCCTTCTCCTTAAAAAATTCAATACTTTAACATCCGAAGTCGGTCTTTCAGATATAAATAAACCGGTATTTGATGTATATACTGCCGACAAAAGACAATAGTGCTGTGTTGTCTTTGAAAAGACAATAAAGATACCGAACATTAGCTCCAGAATTAACGTTAACAATAAAAATAATACAAATGATAGTAGTAACTAAAAATTCTTTTATGAGCCAATCTAAAATCGGAAATCGTTTTTATTTTGGTTCAAACGGATGTATTTTCTTGACGTGGTTTCCTCTATGTGGTCCAAATCTTTCTGTTTCAGAAATATTTATCTAGTGATTTAGTGCATCTATGCTTAAAAATGCTTGCCATCTATATAAGCTACACCTCACTATTATTATTATTATTATATCAAGTTTCATGTATATGTTATATTCGTCATTTCAGTAAAGCACCCAATGGTGGTGTGCTACTGAAATGGATTTGTAAGTAGTTTATCAGTGATTTCTTCTGAAAGAATCTTGAATATCGCAGTGACAAATTGAGGTGTAAAGAGAAGACATGAAGATTATCGGGAAACAATAGAGGAAACATAAAATGTAGACAGAAGAAGGAGAATATAAATAACTTATGCAGATAGAATATTATTATTATTCCCTCGGGTTCTGAGTGGAACATAGGGCTTCAGCAGCGCGCCTACATTTTGTCCTATTCTCTGAAGTCATATTTATCTGGTCGTTTCCTATTCGGGTTCTACCCGAAAAACTGGCTGGCGGGCGATCTCACTCAACGATATGGTTCCATCTCCGCTTCCTTCCGCATATTCGTTTCGAAATAGGTGTTTGTTAAGTTCGTTGCCCTCTGATCGTCAGTAAGGAGCCAGCGAAGACAGCTGTTTATAAAAGCCTTCAAAAGCATGTTAGAAATGCTTTTCTTGACCATACGCAAAGTTTCCGACCCATATAGAAGAACTGACTGACTTAACATTGGTGTTGAAAATCCGAATTTTGTTGTTTATGCTGAGTGCAGAAGATTTCCACACTGATTTCTGAGTGATGAATGCCTGTCTTGCCTTTGCGATTCTGGCTGGCTTTGATATCGTCATCTGTGCTGTCGCCTGTAGCTGAACCAGTACCTCCTAGACCTCTTTCAGATTTCTCCCATTGATGGTGACTGGTGCTTGTGGTCGTTGTTACCTCTGTCTTCTCTATGTGTACTTGAAGTCCCGTCTTTGCTGCTTCTTCTGTGAACTTGTAGTTTTTCACTTATAGCTTACACTCTTAGAAATCTGCCTATTATCACAATTAGTTTTATGTCATTCGACACTAGGATGTATAATCTAGTCGAGTGTGTGGTGTGATTCAAACATTATACTGAGTGAGGATTTTAAATGCATATCATTTTCGTCACAACATAACTAAAATGTACACTGGGGATTTTTAAGGCTTTTCTAAATTAATCATAGGATAACTATAGGATAAATTTCCCTCATTGATTTGTACTGGTTCAGTATCTTTTGGTGCATTGTCACCTATTTCATATTCCTAATAATCACTTATTATTTACATCACTGTTATCAGATTTTAAAAAAAAAAACTAGATTACCTTCTCATGGAATTTCAATCTTTTTGATGTATACTACTGATAAATGTATAATAGTAGTACGCCAAAAATAAACATTGATGCGTGTGTTCTTTTCTACTTTTAGTGAGTGGCACGTTCGATTTTGAAAATTATGAATACGATGACCAAAAAGTTAGATCACCTAGGATCAGTAAAACTCACTCCATTCAGGATGATGTATATCCTGGTATTGATGACATTGGTGCGGTCAGTAAGGATCAATATCGAAATCAGTAAGTCTGTTCACCTATTATACAATGGAAGCGTTATATATGTGCCGTATATGTACCGTTTATTACAACGGATGATGACAGATCACAGGGGAAGAAGGTTAATACACATTTTAAAGTTCTTCCCATTCTTACTTATGTGTAATGGTTTCATAATTCATTACTCAATTTTTTTTATTGGACATTAGTCATTAACTAGTGTAGTGTGTCTAGTCCTATCCAATGAAGTCTTACAGGAGGTCATTCGCAAGCCTGAATAGCTCAGTAGTAACGTCTCTGACTGCAGCACTGGGTGACGCGGGTTCGAATCTCAGAAGCAAAATGAGTTTCGTCAAGACTGCAGTTACGCCTTGCTGGCGAGTGCCGACTAGCACGAAACCTAGGTCAGGCAAGACTTCCTGTCTATCGCCTCCAACCATCTAATTTCATTACTCAATTGAAATTATTTGGAACAACTAGTCTCTTTAATCAATTTGAATTGCGTTATCGCAAGACGGAGTTTATCTGACGAATATGCTGTATTTCTGCAATACATTACGAACAATCTGGCTTTTTAATTTTTATGTAAATTGATCTGGCAAGTAAATCTGTGATCGGAATGTTCAAAATGTATTGCGAAAATATGTCACATTTATCAGACAAACTCTATCTTCTAATAATGCTACCCGAATTCAAATTGTATTTTGAGTTATCCAGTGATGAAACCAGATGTGATGTAACACAGGGTGTTTACTTGTGTAAAAAAAGCTATACATATATATCCACTAGTAAGGCGAAGAATGTCACAGGTACGATTTTTGAACCGCGATTACCATTAATTTCTTCACAAACCCTAGTTTTTTCCCCAAGTACTTTGTTGAAGGCTTAATTTATTCGTTAAGATGTAGTGTATTTTTGCTAGCCTAATAAAGTAATATTCTCAAAAGAATGGATACTGAACAAAGAGTGCTCTTTTCGATAACTTCATCATCAGGCTCTACAATTATATATATATATATATATACATCATAGTGAATGAATGAATTAGTGTTATGGACAACATTAATGTTGTTTAAATAACATCGAATCAATAATATTGATAGATTACAGCTCAATAGCACCAACATAAAATAAGCTGAATGTCAGAAAATTTAGGAAAGATAATAACTCATAAGTTTATAGTTTCTACTGAAGGCCAGGGCAGTAGTGGGGGCTGGACTTGCTTCTTTTGAACACAGAGCACTGGTTGTTTGAGGCGAATTGCAATAGCCTCTGCTGCTTGGAGCATGCGTTGCTTCGATGATTTTGGCAATTTATTAAGCACCCGGTAGATTATAGAGAAGGATTCTTCCACGCTGGCTTTGTGGCCGGTTTGCACCAGATGGTCCAATATCGAACTGTTAATGGTTTTCACTACACCTTTACTTAGTCATAGTGGGAGATGTTCTCGAGCACGAAAAATCAAGTTCCTAGAGCAACGGTCAATATAACTCGCTCCACAAGCGCAGTTGAATTGATAAATACAATTTGAAGTGACTAGTCTAGGTACTTCATCTTTCAGTCGAGATAGCACCATCAGTCGTGTGGAGAATAATACGTGTAGTTCGCCAGCATTAAAAGTTCTTTTAACTGATTTTCTTAATTTCGTCGTAATTATCTCACTTGGTATATCGCCCTTGAATTGTAATCGTATATAAAGTGGCTTCTTGTTTACACATAATGAGTAGTCCTTTTCCGCTTTCTTTGTCATTTGTTTCTTGATAAATTTGTCGGGATAGGGATTTTCGATCAAAGTATCATGTACAATGATTAATTCATTTTCCAAATATTTCTTCTGAGCATATAGCTCTAACTCTGTGGCTGAGGGTCTTCACTAAATTTCTTTTGTACTTGATAGGAACTAAGCTGTGAAAATGTGTATATTGTCCTGTCCATATGCTTTTTCTATGCAAATTTCTTTTTATGCTACCATCTAGTTTTCTTGTAAGTAGGACATCCAGGAAGTAATATCCAAGTAATATTCCCCAAATTCCATTAAAACTTAAATAATGATAAATCTGGACAGGAGTGAATTGAATGAGGCAGTCATCCACATCCAAGTATGCGCTGAAGATGTTGCTCAGTAGAGCAATGAAAGCTTCGCAACCAAACCATCCAGCTCAGAGAACACAACCACACCAAAAGGCAGTCATCCAGTTGGAATAAGACTGTCAGCGCAACTAAGTGAAGTTGAAATGCTTGGTTTTGTACAGCAGGTCGGGTGTGAGTACAAATACTCGTCGAAGACATTGGCTAGCGGTCGCGCTATGTCATGAATTGACAGAAGTTGGAATTCATGAGTGGCCATTGGATCGGGCCCCAGTGGCTTAATGGTCTACGAGCTCGCCCTGTAACCAGAAAGTCCCGGTTTGGAACCCTCTGTGGTGGATGCGTACTGATGAAGAGTCCCAAACTAGGGCGAAACAACCGTCAACTACTCCCAGGTCTTCCAATGGTTTTGTAACCGACGTCAGCTCATGTTGAAATCCTGTAATCAATCAATCAAATCACTACAAATCAATACTTGAATATTACTATTTTCTTCAAAACATCAAAACAAATGAAGACAAAAACGTTTCACCATGTGTCTGATATCACTTAAAATCGCATTAAGAGATTTCCTTTCTCGTGTGAATTAATTCTACACGAAATCCTAGGGAAACATCTTTCACATTTCTTCTGTTCCAAATTAGTCATGCGAATTCATAAATCAAGGGAACAAATAATTGCAAAAAAACATCCCTAATGAAATCAGAAAACAGCACTTTCATAAGAATAATATTCTACTTTGTTTGTGTTCACCACGATACCTAAGTTGTAATATATTTTGGTAACTTAAATGCCGAAACCATTTTCCTTGGACTTCACGGTGGTTTAAATAAACTGACGAGACGCGTGTTTCGAAGGAAAACAACGAATCGTAGAATTTCTAGACGAATAAAAGTGTAGTTATCAAGAAATCCTATGCACGTCTCATTTTGCGCTCTGCTTGTCTGGGTGTTTTCTGAGTAACCTAAGGCTGATTTTTGTACAGATAACCCTCAACTATTTTATAGAATTTGTTTTGACTCACCTATTGAGGCGATACACCCCTTCTTACTATTCTGTGTTGCTTACATATTTGTAATTCACCTTATGTAACATGAACTGTTTACACTGAAATTTAACTTTTTAAAAGATGGTTATAGTCCTAGTGAAGCAACTATCTATATATGTTATTTCTATTATTATATTGAATATTATTTGAAATTACGACCCCCTTAATATCGACTTATATTCGTTTTGTGATGAACATGTAGCCGTATTGAAGTGACTGATAAGTGCGATAACCGACATTCACAATAAAGAATGTTTACTTTATTTCTACAGCCTCAATCATATCCCACGACGAAGTTCCGATGGAAAAATCCTGCAAACAATACATTCATCTTCAGTAACTTCTGATGATGGCTTAGTTGAAAAGCAACCTGTACACAAGCGTCGAATGTCACTTGGAGCAACACGTCGGACATCAAGTGATTGGTATAGATTTACACCAAATTTACAAACATTAGATATTCAAGAAGTTGATGACAATGAAGAAAGATGGCCAGATGAAAAAGAACGTGACTATTCACATCATCAGTCTGAAACTTCAATTTATAAAGAAGAAATAGACAAAAAGAAAGAAATTTATGAAGTTGATAATCAGGTGGTAACATCTACTCAGATGACTGCTCGTCAAAGATGGCATACAGCATTTGAACGTGTTTGCAGTCGTCTGCATTCGGTGAGTTTTCATTTATTTACTGTAAGATCTCTATATCCACTGTTACGCAGTAGTAATGTTGTCAGACATATCTTTGTATACAACAACCTTAAGAACTTTACTCTGCAATGTTTATTTGAACACATACAGAATTTTCAGCGAGTTTCATAGCAAGGTGATTTACTCCTTGTGTAGAATCTCCAAATAATATGATAACCGATGATATATCGTTTGAAGCAACATCGTTCCATCTGAAGCATTCAGTTATAAAAATAAACAAAGATTCTTTTGAAAATAATTTCAGCCTATTTAGTATGTTTGTATTTCTCGTGGTAATCTTTGCACTAAAGGGACTTTAAAGGAGAATCAGTGAACTGACGTGCTTCAAATGCTCTGTAGGCTAAAAGACCCTATTGTTTGACCCAATTAAAGAAAATAATATAATTTACAAAATTCCTTGCAATGATTGTGAGTTAAGTCAACTACATAGGTCAAACTAGTAGGTTGGGGGTAGTCAGGTTGTCGGAACATAAGAATTTAGTGGTTAAGGTAAGAATGGTTGACCCCGAGAAGACAAGTAATTTAGAAAAAAGCTCAGCAATTGCACTGCACACATTAACACACAACCACACAGTAGAGTGGGAGACGGTTAAGATCCTAAGAAGTAATCTGTGTAGGTGGAGAGAGAGATTGGTTACTGAATCCTGGTTCATTGAGTCTACACCCAACACATGCAACAGAAATGACTCAATGCAAATACCAGAGATATGGAAGATATTATTACCGCCAATCAGTCAAATTAGAAGAGGATAATAAATAATCTTAAAGTTCTATTTCAATTCAAACACATCACAACATTTGAACAAGTTACTTATTATGACTAAAAAAACGCTCGTCTTATTTTTCATCTGATTGTATCTGATTGATAATGCTAATATTATTTTTGAACGTACATTATCTTATATTGATTTTTATTCGAATATCTCCACACATGTATATAAATGAAAGAAAAAGTTGTGTGAGTAACTTGATATGATTATGAGCGATAATTTGTGCTCGAAACGTGGTCATCAGTTAATATTACTGTACAACAACACTGTGTGCTTTATCAAAATAAAATCTTATCCATGATGGAGTTATGCTCTACCACAGTGCTCAAGTTTTATACTTATTTCACATGCATAACTTTGGTGATATATGTTAAAAGTAGTTCTTCCTGGTTTGACCTACATTATATGCTTTTTATTACGCCGTGGCAAGGTATTTCTATAGTTTTATTCTGTCACCTTTTTTTGAAGTTGAAATCTACTCCACGCACTGCTGAAGTTGAGCTTAAGCTTAGACGGCTGAATCGATAGTGATTCAGTATTTCTTTTCATAATTGCATTAAATTGCTATTTTAAAGAGTGGGACTATTACTTCTTCAATTATCCTGTGTCAATGATTCAAATTATTCTATAACTCGTTATCGACCACTTTTAAAATCATTATTCTGGTGAGGAAGTAGATGAATATTTTTAGGCTAACTTTCATGAAGCACGGGAAGCAACTTCTGAATAGGCTGATTCACATTTTACTTTAATTACTTCAAAGAGTCTTTTAGCATACCTAGTTTTACGAAAATATCCATCTAGCTAGGTTAAACCAGATTGTGTCATTTACAGTCAGCGGGTCGATTAATTAAATCTTTTTGAATTAGGCGGTCATCTAATCACTGTAGATTACAACTTTGAATTCGTCCAACATACATTTTCTGTAGTACTTCTACTATTGACCGTCCACATGACGTTGATGAATTGTGTTGGATATTTTCGAAGCATCTGTCACACGGTGGCCGGAATCTTCAATAAAACTATTATAGCCATCTCACTGTGCGTCGGTGGTATAGTGGTTATGACTCTCGCCGACCATGCACATGGTCCGGGATTCGATACCCTGCCGACGCACACCTGATATCTATGGTCGGCCTGAGAAAATTTTGGCTACAGATATCACATGCTAAAAGTTCCATACCTGTACCAAAAAATATAGTGTGGAATCAAGCTGTAATCAAAAATTTAAAAAAGTAAATAAGTAACATTTTAGCAGAGTTATCTGTACATTCTGAGGGGTTTATTACAGAATATGTTTTACTGACATTACAATTATCTGAATATAAAGTGAACTTTCAATCAAATCTATTCACATAATTTTCATTTTTTTTCGACTTTTCTTTTCAGGAAGGAGGTTTCCTTTCCGCAACTCTGTAAGTTTTGCCTGACATTCATGACCAATATCATTTGCGCTTTGAATAACTATCCTAGAGTAAAAAAAACGAAGTTTTTACTCATTCATTGGTTTCTGATATTAAACCTTTTGTTTTACTATATTATGAACTAAAGAGGATAGTGTTCAATACCGTTTCTTGGAGAGGGATGAAGATTGTATTCACGGTTGACATGTTCCCACCGAAATATCATTCATTATTGCAGCAAATACGATAAAAAGAGATATCTTCCACGTTTATAGTCTTTAGATGGTATATCTGTCATCCTCCGCGGAACCTCATTGCTAACAAACAATTTTTCAGTAGGGAAGATTTTAGAACAATTTGTGCTTGATTGATACATACATAGGCGATTAAAATAAATCGTTTTTAAAGCAACAATGACATTTTCTGTTAAACCTTTTTGCAGTGCCCCTCAGATGGTACACAGACAGTTGTGGTGAAAAGTTTTCGAAATATTTGGTTCTTTCAGAGACATAAAGTAGACGTTGGTAATTTTCAGCTAACTGTAGTGGTATTTAAGATATACAAAGTTGTCAGAATTGATGTCCATCACGCGAAAATTTAAATTTAAACCTGTGACCGTACATACTTCATAATTCGTAGAAGATGGTTACCTTGTAGGTGTTTCAATTGATTCCAGGCTACTAGTTGGACGGATCCACAACTCATAAACCGTTTATTTTAAGTATTTTATTATGATGAAACTTGTGTTTGTGGATAACTGTCTACTGTAAACCATACTTGGTAGTTGTATATACAAAATAACTGCAGTAATCTTATTTTTCCTTTGAATTTTGTTAACATTACAGACCTCTTTCGGATGATCGACACACGACATTTTATACAAGCATTGACAGTATGCCAGATATTCGTTTGAAGAAGAAACCGAAGTCTTTGGTCAGCGATTTAGTAAGTATTAAAATGTTTTTACCGACAAAATAAAGAAAGGAAATGTGAAAAATTACCATATAACACATATAATGATCATTATTATTATTCTCGATAAGATGAAGAACTTGTGGTTTCGGTATTTTGTCTTATAAATGGCATGAAAAGGAACTCAAAATGCTCTGTGAGGCTGCATGAGCAACCAACAAAATGAAAAATAAATATTACCAGCGCTTGGTGACGCTGGTTCGAATCTCAGAAGGGAGATGAGTTCCTTCAAGGTTGCAGATATGCCTTGCTGACTGGTGAGTGCCAACTAGCATGAAACCTAGGTCAGGCAGGGCTTCCTGTGGCTGACTGCCTCCGACTATCTAATATCATCAAATCAATGTGCACCGTGATGGCGAGCTACCTAGTGGCATGGTGGCTACATTGCAAACCTGACTGATAGAATTGAGTCTGCACCAAACAAAGGACTAGACACATCACACTAGTTACTAGTGTCCAATGAAAATATTACAAGTGTTATTTTTTTAACAAGATAACTAAAATGATGCTGGCTGAAACTAGAAATCAGTTAGTACTTATGTTAGTCATCTGGTACTTCTCTTCTGCAACCTATAAGACACTAACTGCATACACTCTGGGGTTTCTGTAGAGCTGAATGTCTTGAGGCAGTCGTTTTTCTTGAATTATTACTCCCTAAGTTCAAAACATTTTTAGCTGTCATAAAAAGAAGTTACCTACTCACTATTCCTCTCGCTTTTTCCTAATCATGAGAGAAGGAACAAGTAAATAAGCAAGCCTACAATTTTACTGATAATATTCGATAAAATAACATTTTATGAGATTGAATAAATTCTAATTGAATGATGATTAAAGTGGGTCAGTTCAATGAACTTTTTACAGTTCCTGTTATTATCTTTTACTGTATCAGAAGGCATATAGGTATCCTATAATGCCTTTGATCCCAGCTTACTATAATTTCATCGGTGATAGCTAACAGGGGAATTCAGGATGCATATTTCATCCTGCTAGAACTCACCAGTAACCGAGGTCATCATATTTCTCCTTCAATGACTACAGTACTGGTCATTTAGTATTAAAAGTCTCGAACTAAGCCATAAGTTCTACGTAACGCTGTTTGAACTCATTCAAACTGGTAGAAACAAACCACTGAAGAGCATTATTTGTTGTCTTTCCCCATCATGATCATTAATGTTTTTATTGATTATAGGCATACTGGAGCTGTATAAGTAACTATACAAAAGGCTACCTAAATTTATATATGAATCCATTGAGAAATATTATTATTCCCTCAGGTTCTTAGTGGAACATATGTCTTCAGAGGTACATCTCCATTTAGTTATGTTGTCTGAAGTCCTCTTTAGCCGGCTGCGCTACTGACCATGAGCTTAAATCCCTCAATACGATATCTCCAACGCTACCTTCGGATGCCCAACTCATTGTTTCTCATTGCGGTCCACTCGGAAGACCTACTAGAGCGTGTTTTCACTCAACTTTTTTCTCAACGTGTGTCAGATGAACTTATATTTTCTTCGGCAAGAGATCATTAGTTGATTAGTTCGTTGAAAGTGTCCCTTGTTACTAATCTTTTCTGAACAGCCATCCGTTTCTCAGTATGGAGTGAATGCAACTGTTGACCATTAGGAAGAGAAACACAATAATACCACCCAAAAGCATTCGACTTAATATGTTCTATTCTCTATTCCGGCTACACGGAATGGCATACACACACACAATTTACCTCACTTTCTTTATATTTGTGAAGACAACCAAAATACATTTTCAGCTAATCAAGTCGTAAGTGACCAGTTTCTACAGTCTCATATTCACCAATAGTTAAATGGAGTCTTGAGACTAGATTGTCACTAAATTCGACTTTGATTACGATAAGACTGGCATCACTAAAACATGTAGTCCCAGTACCTTCGGATTTATGAACAGAAAAACGCCACCGTTCCTTAAGAGGACAATTTTCATTTATCAAATCTAAGGATAGATATAAAAATACAGTAAACGTCTTTAATATTTCCATTTTTAATAGTATGTTGAGCATGCATTTGAAATCTTTATGACAGCTTATTTCCACTTCAGTTACTGTGATGGATTTGAATATGACAGTTGTTCACAATGCATGTTGACTATCTGTAATCTTACTTTATTTTACTGGTTCATTGTTTCAGGTCATTCAGGTAAGAAAATGTTGATGATTGATAATAATAATAATAACAATAGTATTAACAATATCAATGATAAATTGGAGTTCCGTTTTCTTCTACTCATAAATTCGTATGCTTGCATGCTTTCAATTCCGTATTTTGCATGTCTCAGTTATGCATATATGTATATCTATCTCCATTCTTGTATATAACAGAACAGTTAAAACTGGCTCCTTTCCGTTTTGTATTGCATTTTTACTACTATATATATATATATATATATATATATATATATATATATATAGCATGTATATGGAAGATGAGAGATTTGCAGTCGACAGAATTTTATTATTCACAATATTATTTGTTATTTATTATATATGTTTGTTGTTTTCGCCTCGACTTATATATATATTACCCCTTAGGCATTCTCAAAGAAGAAGTTAAATTTACATCCCGTGTGGATTTCATGTAAATATAACTATTATTAACAACTTTTCAGATAAATTTAGGCTAAAACTAATTAGTTGGTGGTCGCTCTGTATCATGAATTCATAGAATTTAGAATTCATGTGCTGGCCATTGAATCGGATATCCCAGTGGTTGAATAGTATATGAGCTTGCCTTGTAACCAGAAGGTCCTGGCTTCGAACCCCGAACTACCGATGATTCCCAAACTAGGATAAAACTAATTGATTAGGGGGAATAATAACTAGTCTTTGTGTTGCATCGGTGGTTTAATGTTGGAATAATGGTCCAAGTTTGATTCCCGGACGTCGAAACACTTTCAAATCTCGCTTAGCCCGTACTAAGTCTGGTGAAGAAAGAAGGTTGGATGTGTGATTATTAGCAGCCTTATCTTTCAAGAACAGAACAACACTATTGCTGCTGTGACGTCAGAGCCTAAATTATGTTCCGTTTAGAACGCAAAGGACTGAAAGAAATGTTGAGAAGAAGAGAGAGGTATATCACATGTGAATATCTGAGAGTGTCTTCATCTGTTTCTGAAATTATGAATACACTCTCAGTCGACTTGGCTAACTTTGCGGTCAGTTTTTCTTTCCCATTTTAATCAAGCTAGTGGCTTGAAGTTTCTGTAGCAGTGTTTATTTTACAGGATGGGAGGGCTGCTAGCCTCATGCCCAACCTTTCCTCTTCACCAGCATTATTTCTGGCTCAGCGAGGTAAAGGAGTGCGTTGGCCGGAGATCGAACCCCGGACCATTTGCATGGTCGGCGAGCGTCCTAACCGCTATACCACCGACGCACGCACATTAGGTGACATAACTTTGTTTAAGTTATTTATGTGAACTGTGATCAATATTTGAGAAATAGACATATGTAAAAACTGTATTTGTAAAATCTCAGTGAAATTGAAGTAAGTAATTCCAACCTTTTGTTTGGAAAACTGGTTCGAACTTCTTCAGCGAAATTGATCGAAACTGAAATAACCAAGCTATTTGTATATGGTCTTTAAAATCCTTGTCCAATCATATGAGTCATGAACAGACATCAAGGGACAATGAACAAAATTGCATGAACTGCGATCAAAATTTTGACCTCAGACTTGCAAATATTAGTCTACTCTTGTTAAACACTTTAAACATATTCATATTCAGTTATCAATGACTATGAACTTTAGGTGAACGCAATCACTAAAAGTCTGATGCAAAAGTACACACTGTTTACAGTGTTTAACAAAAGCAGACTAATAAATACAAGTATATAGGCAAGTTTTGATTTCCCTGAAGAAGTTCTGACCAGCTTGGCAAGCAAAACGTTGGAATTACTTAAATCAATTTCTCTGACATTTTACAAACATCGTCGAACGATCCCTACAAGAAGCCGACATGTCAATCGGAGACCGAGCAGTTCGATTCAGTCAGTCGACAGGAAAACCTAAAATTGAGTTAAATATTTAATATGACCCGTTGCACAAGAGGTGGCTCTCGTGGCCAAAGTGGTCTAGTGGATAACGCTCTGGGGCTTGAAGCTTTGGGTAATGGGTTTGAGCCTCGGTGGGAACATCACCACTCACTGACTAGGGAATGCAGGCACATCCAGATGACGAGTCCCAAATAGGGCGAAATGTGCATCCTGGATTCCACTGCTAGTCATCATTCACCAGTTCATAGCTTACATTTGTTTAAGTTAATTTGAATTTCTCGTTGTTTGATTTATATTGGTGCAAAATGGTGGGTATGTGTTGACATGTTGGCCCCTAGTATGGACGCTTTGACAACATCTTTTGGTTAACATTATGTCATTTGGTAAATGGTAACTTGTAGTGGAATCTGGGATGCTCAGCTCAAACCAATTTAAATTAACTTTGAGAAATGTCATCTGATACTCTTTTGCTGTGGTTTAGCTGAAAAGCTTTCATTGTCTTCTTAGACAAAATCATCAGCGCGCACTTGTCTAAAGAGACAATAAAAGCCTCGCAATTAGGCAACCTGGCTCAGAGAACACAAACACATTTAAACCATTCAACTGGACTACAAATTTTCTCCATTATCTCGACGGACACCTGTTGGACAAGAGGTGGCTGTCATGATTCGGTAGCCTAGTGGATAAAGGTTTGGCATTTGAAAATACGGGTTTTAGGCTCGAGTCTCAGTGGGAACACCATGACTCAACCAGCTGAAGAGTCCTAAATGGGATGGAATGTGCATAATATGCATTCCAGTGGTATTCGCCACTACTTGGCTAGCCAAAAAGACTTTTTTTTCGACCCAGTCACCGACTTCTACAGAAATACTAGATATTTCTTGATGAACTACAAAAAAGTTTAAAAGTAAAACAGTAAATGTCATACTTGTAGTTAAGTCATTACAACACTGGATATGCAGTGTATCGGTAAAGAAGTTTAGGAACACTTGATTGTAAAGAAGCATTACTGCTTCGAATTCATGACTGTCGATATCTTAAAAATAGGCCAATTTATTAAGTATTTTAAACACGACAGCACTTTCTATTTATTCTCGTGTATAAACTATCACTGAACAAGTGATTTATGCATCTTTTGAAGTAGCTTTATTGATGGTCAGTATTATAAAAAAAGGTTAGTTGCACAAATTTGACACCGACTCATCGTTACTCAGTTACGTAAACAGAACTAATTAGAACAAATCCGAAAGGTCCAGAATATTTTAGCATCATTTGGTCTAAATGAGTCAGAGTTTCATAAATCAGTTAGAAGTGGATCTCACTGTGTGACTGCTTATCAACGGGAACTAGATAGTCGATGAGTTTGAACTCCTGTGAATTGAGAATAGACTTTTAACGATTCATAATCATCTGTGGATTTTACTTTTATACTTGTTGTGAAGATGTCAGTGATACAAAGGACTGTAAATCCTAAAGTGTTTAATCCACCGTAGAAAATGATTATTCCAGCTTCATCTATCCTTAAATCACTAGCACTACAACTGAAATAATTAAACCATAGAGCATCTTTTCTAAATAAAACGTTATATGCTGAACCTTGCTGATACTCACAAACATCCATTAAAAGAGGTTGTTTATTTCGTTTGCATTTTATGGAGTCTTCTGTTGATTTCACTATCTTTAGGACTAAAAGTGGAAATCAGACTTCCCTGAAGTAGTCGAGTGGATATTATTTTGTCCCACTTTAAACTTGTCTGCCAGATTTGCTGGCATTGCTCAGGGAGTGATGGTGTTCTTATTGAAACTTGAATCTAGTAACCATCCTTCCAAACGTCAATGCGTTATGCACTAGACCACTTAGACCACGAAATCCACCCCTTGTGCAATGGGCATCAGTTATTATTTGTACAGTCACCTGTACCCACCAAATTACTTTACGTCAATCCTCAAACATCATCAAAGCGTCCGTACTAGGACGCAAGGCTGAACGCTTCGGTCCAATCGGTCAGCGGGAAAATGGAAACTGACTTCCTCACTTAACCGATACTAGATAATAACTTGACACCTCACTAAATAACTAGAATTTAGCTAACTGGTATTCAGTGTCAATTATTACCTGATGAAGTAACCAGTTTTCATGGATAACTTAATAATGTGTTTGTTGTCTTTGTACAGTTTTATCTAGTGTCTCATCATATAATTACCTTTCTATCTATCTGTTATCCTAGTTTTTTCAACATCATATTTAGAGTTTGCGTGTGTGTGTGTATTCATGCGTCAAATCTGTGATGTCGTTTTCCCCAACATCTGAAATAATAAGTAGCGTGTTGTGTTTGCTCATGGTAAAGTGTGTGCTCGAATTAACAAATAAACAAACAAATAAATAAATAAACCTTTTAGATCAATATCAGTGAATAGGTGTTTTTGTTTTTCTTTACTTTTGTCATTACGTCAACACACGATGTTTTTATATTCCTTTGTTTGTTTTTTAATCAACGCAGTAGGGAAAGTGAGATATTATATTACCTAACCATGCATGCATGCTTATTATATTATTCATTTTCAATGTCTCTTGTGTATGTATAATATGAGACCTCTTCTGTCGTTGTTTTTTTTTTCCTTTATCATAATCATAATTTTATTTGCATTTTTTTCTTCATTAGACTATGGCAGTGCAAAAACGTAATATGGGCACGGCTAGTGCAAATTTGATTACTCGACAATCTATCAATGATGAAGAAATGGTATGCCATATGAAGTGATTTATTAGTCTACGAATTTTCTGCGTTCTAGTGAATTTAGTCTTCTTTTGTGTGCATCAAAGTCACTTTTTTTTACTAATTATTCAGTCTTATTGGTGTTTTGGTGGTGATTATACTTAGGAAATGCGTTAGCGGTTTAGCGGTAGAATATTCACTAAATACTCATGCAGTCCTGGATTCGACTCCTGACCAACGCACTCCCAAACCTGGTATAACTGACAGTAAGACTGTTAAAGAGGGAGGGTTGGATGGAAGGCTAACAACTTCACCCCGTAAAAATAAAACTGCTGAAGCTTGAAACCCTATCTTCTACTTGGAACGCAAAAAAATAAAATAATCTATAAAAATAATACTTACAAAGAAACCACGTGCTTCGCTGACTAATAGAGTTGTTGTCTGAGTGCAGAGAATAACAATCTACTGATACAAGGAAAATGACTATATACCTTGAATATCTGGTCAGTGTGGCATACTTTAAGATTAAAATTTCTCACTTAATATGAAACAAAATATTTTTACTCAATTATCTCCCTGTTCAATGCAAATTCCCTAAAAAAAATACTGTTTAGACAGTATCAGTCTTATGTTTGGCATTTTGATAGGATTAATGAATTCTACTAAGTTGAAAACAATAATAAACGACACTGAATGAGCACATGGAATGTAGCGATTTGAGCTGCTGTACTTCTCTGCAAAGTACTACTTTTGAAACTCAGTCAATCACACCAAAATAAATTGTCACAAGAATATCACTTTTAATAGAATTCACATCTCTGTGACAGTATTATCAGGCAGTCGTTTTGTCTTTAGAAAATCAGACGGTACAAAACACCAGGGAGTAAAGTTAGGCTTTAAGCATCAGTAAGTGCCAACGGACACATGACCTTGAACGCAATTTTTTGCGTATAAAATACATATACATTCATGAATACAATAAAATAAAAGGCATAAATCTCTTACACAGGATACCTTTCTCTGACATGTGGCAAAAATACCTCTCAGTTATGGATTGAAGTATCAACAGAGTACTTTTACCACATTCTGTGCATGCAGTTATCTAGGTCTTCTAACCCTAATCGTAAAGTGAAAATATCCCCAAACTAACCCTAATCTAACTTTAAACAACCCTAATGTCGCCCTCATTAGGTTAACACAACCCTAACCTACTCTTAACCTAAATCTTAATTTAATCTTCCCCAAACCTGACCCGAAACTAGTCAGATATCTTATTTAATAATATCACACTCCGTTAAGCATATTTCATACATGACTGCAATATTATTTGCCAGGTTTCACTAACTTGCTCACTGAGCGTTTCAACGTCACTGGTGCGATCGCAATCCACTGGCACTTACCGGTGCTTAAAGTTTAACTTGGCCCACCATGGTTTGCACAAAAGACAAATCGTATAAACACTCAGCTGTCTTATCGCGTCTTTGAAATGAAGCTTAACTATTCTGATGAAAAATTCTCCTGTGCTGTAATTAAAAAGACATGAGGCAGCAGAGCTGTACAGTTATTTGGGGGTTTGTATACATAGTGTTAATTAAAAACAAGGGTCAGAAGTTATTGTCAAAGTATGAAAAGTGTTGAATAATCTTACACAATCTACAGAGTTGACAATTAATTAATTAATTAGACAATGAGTAATCATTTGAAAATCATTGATAAGAAACAAGAGAACAAATCATTAAAAATGGCCTTAAAAATTAATCAATTCCAAATGAGTATTCATCACTTAACTAATTAGTTTAGACTGATAAGAAGAGCTGAACTTCAAGGAAGATTTATGTTTAATGTCACACAAACTGTGAGGTCTACAGGAAAAAAACGACAAACCGACAGAAAAGGCAGTAAAGACAAGACTTCAAGTGGACATAGAGAAGACAGAGGTCATGAAGATACCTAATCGACTACAACGACAGTGACCACAAATCACTATTAACGGGAGAAATTTGATGGGAGTCAGTTCTTGTACTTATTCACACAGCATCTTTTCAACTACAGGTTACGACACATGTGAAGATGTTAAAGCTAGCCAGGATTAGATCGAGAAAGTAAGATAGAACTTCATTCCACTGAAATTAGTGTGTAAGTGTGCTGCACTTAGCACAAAAAACACAATTCAGATTTTCAGGCATTCTCCATGTTTCAGAGAGTTGGCGTGTCACAAAATGCAGGCTTCACACTTTAATCAACAGCCGCCTTCGCTCATTACTGAACCCTGGATTGCTAGAAAGTAACTCTGGGAACAAAATAACCAATAACCTATCGTCCTACATATATGGAGAGGAAAATGGGGATAGATTTGACATGCTCTGAGGAGATGGCTGATCGACATTTCGCGCCAATCAGGCCGTCTAGTAGAACTCAAGTGGGAAATGACGAGTTCGGCAGGTGTCCGAGCGTGATATAGAGCGGATCGTATAAGGTGGAAGTGGGAGCCTTTAAGCAATCGGAGATCCAGCTAAAGACGACTACAAAGAACAGGATGAAACGGAGATCTTTTGTCAAAGCCCTCTGTTGCACTCGGAACTTAAATGAAAAATAATAATTTAATTCAATTTAAGATTTTTCCGTCGACTGATTTGACTGAAGTGCTCGGTTTCAGGTTGACATGTTGGCTGCTTGTGCAGATGCTTCGGCGATGTCTGGCCATGCAACTTTAAGTCAATTGGTGGATGGTGACTAGCAGTGGAATCCTGGATGAGCATTTCGTCCAATCTGGGACCCGCCAACTGGATGTCCCTGCGCTCCCCAGTGAGTGATGGTGTTCCCACCAAAGCTCGAACCTATTGCCCATAGTCTCAAACGCCAAAACTTTATCTACTAGACCACTTGGGCCACGAGAGCCACCTCTTGTGCAAAGTGTCTAGTGGATAACGCTTTGGCATTTGAAACTATGGGCACTGGGTTCGAGCCTCGGTGGAAACACTATCACTCACTGACTGGAGAATGCAGGTACATCCAGATGACGAGTCCCAAATAGGACAAAATGCTCATCCTGGATTCTACTGTTAGTCACCACCCACCAACTGAATAGTAATTAAACAATAATTAGCTGTCAACTTTGTCGACTATGTAAGATTATTCACCACTTTCCATATGTTTATTATTTCTCATACACTTACTTTTGTTACTAAGTGACAATAGTCTCTAACCTTTGTTGTCAATTAACACTGTGTATATGAACCCTTAAATAACTGTACAGCTTTGAAGTGTATTTCCTGAAACAGATCTCTTTCCTAATTACTTTCTGCTTAATCAACCGTTATAAAAAAGGTTAAGTGTAATGCATCCTGTTGATTGCTAATTATTTCCAGTAATTCTGATGAACCTGAAATAACGTAGGCTGTAATTATTAGTTAAGTTTTATCCAATTTTTAAAAACTTATAAAACCGGTCTCTGCATATGCAAGTCAGTCAAGAGAATTAATTTTCCATCAAAGGAAATATTATACTCTTCATGAGAATTCATTGCAATTTTTTTTCTCCCCTAATTTTGAAAACCATTCATCAATAAACGCGTTGATTTTATGGAAATTGATGCTGCTACTGATAAAACTCGTAAATGAAATAGAAATTTGCCTAAATTTGAATTATTACTTTTATTATTATTATTGTTCCCTTGGGTTCCTAGTGGAACATAGGGCTTCAACTGCACCTCTCCACTTGCTTCTGTCTTCTGCTGTCTATACTGTTTCAACTCTTCTTCACACGGTCTCCTCCATGTCACCCTTGGAAGTCTCACTCGCCGCTTGCCTTACGGGTTCCACTCGAGCTATGGCCTGACGCGCGATGTCACCCAGTGGCCTCCTCAGCGAGTATCCAATCCGTCTCCACTTTCTCCTGCATATAAGCCACTGAATGTAACTACCCACCTATCAAATCCTAAAAACAAGACATATAAAAAAACAATATTGTTTTCAGTTAGATCTTCCTCAGGTTTCACTGTAATGTACATAGCTTTATTTATAAAAGTTTAACCAGTGACGATGGGTTTATAGATCGAAAATAATGCGTTAAGTGTTTTGAACGTCATTAATAACGATGATGATTATAATTGACAAAATTATTGATAACAAGGTCAATGATATAAAAGTACAGAAAGTTTATACATTTGGCTATAAGAGTAACGAAGGTAGTATGCTTAAGTAAACAGCTTAGTAAGTGAATTAGGTCAAATCTTAAAAGTTACGTAATACTAAAAGTGAATTGGATAAATAATCAGAGTTTCATTGAACACCATTGATTTAGAATTTGTCTAGACCAAGGGAGCAGGTTCAAAAGGTTCAACGGAATGCGATGGACAGCCCAGAGGGCAAGTCTTCTGTCCACTTGGTAACCTCTGTCATCAATCAAATGAGACAAAATAGAGCTTCTTATGGATTTTTTCGGCTTTTTACCAACCATGAAGGAAGGTGCTTAGTAATGCGTTTGTTGAACTGTCTAGTTGTTCGTCCCATATAGCTTTCTCTACAGAAGCAGCTAAGCTTATAAATGTACATAGAAGTGGCACAGCCAGGCAGTTTATCTTTTTCCTGAGCAATCATAATTGGTTGGTTGGGAAATGACGAAGGGTGGTGGCCATATAGATCTGTTTATGGCTCTGGACAAACTAAGATTATGTGTCTTGTTTTAATTTTAACAATTGGAATATTTAATGATATCAACATCTTCCACAATAGATTATCGGTACAAATGAGGACAAATACTTGCCGATGACATTCTCTAGTGGTCACTCCATATCGTGAATTCATGGACCATTGGATCGCGTCCCAGTGGCGTTCTGGGTTTGAACTCCAGTGCGTGTGTACTGACGAAGAATCCCAAACTCGGACGAAACACCTGTCTAGTACTTCCAGGTGGTTTTCCAATGGTCCTCTAGCAGATATAGGCTCATTTTGAAATCCTAAAACCAATAAAATCCCTGCAAACCAACACTTGAACAGAAACTCTGAAATTTTAGGTGCATGGTCGATATTTTATACAGACAAAGAAATGAGAGCTCTGTTTATTTGTGGGAAAAAGTGTTGAGTGTAACTCAGGCATAGAGTTACTAAATGACTTTATTGATCTGCGTATATCGTTCAAAAGACGTTTATTCCTTCCTTGCTTACCTATCTATTTATGTTAAGTAGGATTTTAAATAATGAGCCTACCTTATCATCAAGGTAACACTATTTTAAATGCTCTTTTAGACACTGAGATTTCACATCATTATTCAACTGATTTACTTTTTTATTATTTTATTCAATTTTAGAAACAACATGTTTATAAGAAAACCTTACAAGCACTACTCTATCCAATATCAAGTAATACACCACATAATTTCCAAGTATGGACTGCTACTAGCCCTACTTATTGTTATGAATGTGAAGGCCTTCTCTGGGGTTTAGCTAGACAAGGTCTACGTTGTACAGAATGCGGTGTAAAATGTCATGATAAATGCCGGGAATTATTAAATTCAGATTGTTTACAACGTGAGTTATTTAAGTATCTCTCTCTTTTACCTATTTTATTATTTACTGGAAAATAATATTTATTCAAATTTGTATGCTAGTCCTGTCTAACGTATTGTGTAATTGAATTTCATTATTTTGTTTAATTATTATTTTATTCCGTTAAGTTCCCAGTGGAACATAGGGCTTCAAGCCAAAGCTTTGAAGTTTAGGTAGCAGTGGTATTTACTTTTAAGGGATGGGGTTGCTAGCCTCATGTCAAACCTTCCCTCTTTACCAGTCTTATTAGCGGCTTAGCGAGGAAAAGGAGTGCATCGGCCGGAGGTCGAACCCCGAACCACATGAGGCGTGGTTGGCGAGCATTCTACCGCTGTGCCACCTACTCACTGTTTATTGATTATGAGGCTGTTTTTGTTAATCTAATTCAGAATATTGTTTTTTTCTTTTTGGTTAAGTTGGCCATAGTTAAACTGAGTTGTTTCTTAAATCTTAGTATCGTTTTACAGACATCACCACCTGAAACGTTGCTATGTCGCCGTCGTAAATTATAAATACTCGAAGCCACTTGATTCGGTTGGTGTATTTATTTATACTGACTGCTGATACGTCATTCTTATTGATAACAAAGACTAAAAGAGAGTTTCATATGTATTTGAGAGTTGACTGGATGACTGATGAAATGTTTTAACCGACAGCTGACAAGTAATAGTTGAAATGAACTAACGAATAATAATAGTGATAACAAATGACTCAGAATTAAACTCAGCGTAAATGAATACACAAGCTTAATTGTAATGGACAGTCTTGTCCCAATGAGTAGAAAAAGAAGTCTCATTGCCTCTCTTGAGACGAGAATCGGCCATATGTGCACTGAAGGCGCACTGTTGACGGATTTGGAATCCTCCAGAAAAACCATAATCAAAAATGGATATCTAACTTCCTTCATCGATAAACATCTGAAGAGAAAGGATGGTACCCCTCCAAACCCGGATGTGCCAATGAAACAACTAATTATAAATTTGAAATTCAAGGGAGGAAGCTGTCTGTTGAGATAAATACTAAGAACGTCTTTTGCTGCATCCTAACACCTCACCTTCTCCACAAGTGCTCTTATTTACCAAAACGTTAAGGACAAGATTGCTCTGTTGGCAACCTCAGTGTACATTCACCTATTCAGGTGCTTCTGTGGAGTTAAGTACGTAGGACGTACCAGTAGGACATTGCCTAGACATGACCATGAATAATTACCAGCATGGTTGTCTTAAAGAGAACGTAGAACTGTCAACAGCTTAATTCAAGAGTATATTATTACCACTGGTCACGCAGTATCAGCAGAGACATCTTTCAAAGTCATATACAAAGTACAAACAAGTCGTTCGAAAGGATTTCGCCTACATCTCCTTCATGCAGCCGAAGCCTTCGTAGAACTTAAGGAAAAACCTGAGCTTTATGTTCAGAAACGTTTCATCCTGTCTGCTTTACCACCATGACCTTAGTACTTTTTTCTTCTTTCTTTGTCTCCCTGAATAACTGTATAATAAGCTTTATGTAGCCTACTTTTATGTTTTTGCAACTCATTTTCAATATTTTGTTCTCTTGTCTCTTAACAACTATTTCCAGACGATTATTCATCACCCAACCAATTAGTTTTCAACCCTTTTGATTACATAAGACTATTCTTAATTTTTCAAACATTGTTATTACTCATGCACTTTGATTTGCTTTTTTACTGACTAACGATAACCTTTGACCCCTGATGTTAATGTTCATTGAATATATAGACCCCCTAAATAAGTGTACAGCTGCGAAATGAAGCTACGAAAAGCGATCTCTTTGTTGCCTGGTGTGTTCTTAATAAATGAACACATTACTAGTTTGAGCTGACCGTAGCAGTTTCTATTATGACATTTCAAATACACTGCACAATAAGTTTTAAAATGCATAAGAAATTTTTAAGTTATGATATATTACACACAGTGAATCAGCTATGTTATAGTTACTGTTTGTAATCTTTCGCAATGACATATATATAAATAATACTAAAAAAAGCATCTGCAAATTGGTCATTGTATGAAAATCACCGTCGCAATTTTATCATTAGCCTCCTTGGTGATGTAGCATTTCTGTGTACCATAGTGTAGTCTAATTCAACATTAGAGGTTAGAAAGGTTTCAGAATTCCTAAGCCGCTACCTGTCTGAGTAGCTTCTTAGTAAAGTCTCTAACTTCCATACAGCGTGGCAAAGTGTCGAATGCTATAAAAACATAAGAATCTTCTCAGGACTGCAGATGCACAGTGCAGTTAAGGGCCGGTGTGGTGTGTTCTACTGATAAGATATATCAGTAGTATATATAAAGAGATGTTCATCAGCATAGAAATATCAAATATCAGAGAGATAAATTTGATGTCAGAGGAAGCAAATGATACAACGTTGCAGAAATAAATGGGAGATATGAAAAGAGCACAAAGAAACACAATATAAAGTGAAACAGAAGTAGCACAACACTGAAGGTTTGTGGAGACGGTGATTTGAAGATAAGGTGTACCTAATTTCGCTATCTAGAGATACTAGATACCAAGTCTCTAGTCTTCTACCGTTACACGAAAGCTAATTCCCTTCCAATGTAAAAAAAAATTGTAATTGTAAGTTATTCAGTTTGTCACTAAGTTACTGGTAATGACTGATTTTAACTAACCAAATTGTTCTTAGTGACAAACAATGACACGAGTTCTAGTGAGAAGTCATGACCACTAATGTCCATCCAGTCGAGAGTGAGGGTGGATTTCCCGCCGATAATATTGGTTACTGGTCGCCCTAAATATCACGAACTGGTAAAAGTTGGAATTCATGTGCTGGCCATTGAATCGGGTCCCAGTGGCTGGATGGTATACGAGCTTTCCTCGTAACCAGAAGGTCCTAGGTTGGAATCCCCTGTGGTGGATGCGTACTGCCGATGATTCCCAAACTAGGATGAAACAGCTGTCAGGCACTCCCTGGTTTTCAATGTTTCTCTAACTGATCTCAATCCTTGGTCACACTCGAAAAACAAATCAAATCCTTACAAATCAATTCTTGAAAATGACATGTACGAAGAAAATAAGACGTGTTTTGAGATTATCTTTGACAGCAGCACTGAAATATGATAATAATAATAATAATTTGCTTTATTCCAGAAACAGTACTAGTGGTACAGTGTGGAATTTTCAGCACATATCTAAAATATTTGCATCTAATTTTATCAAACATTTAAAAGGAGTATTTCAAAAAATAAATATAAAGGCAACAACAACAAAAATAATAAAAAATGCGAAAAAGTACGAAGAAGTAGAAAGGAAAATAAACATCATATAATAATAACTGAGTATTGGGTAGTGGAAGCTATGATATGATTATGCATGGTGACAGTAAAGCTATAGTCATACAAGAAGTTATGAAATGATATTTAAGAATGTTTATCTCCAAGATGATCAGTTAATTTGGTTGAAACAACTCTGAACAATCATAAAATAACATTTCAGGGTTGTTGTTTTGTTTTTTATTGTCAGGTCTAATGCAGTGTTTGTAGTGGTAGTGTGAGTAATCCTGCATAATACAAAATTTTTTTTAAGGTGGTGACTATGGCGTTCACAAACAATGATTGTCAGTTTAATATTGCCAAAAAGTATAGAAAATAAGAAAAGACAACCACAAAACTAATAATTACATGATGGTTAATGACAGGACAATTTTGTAATACGCATAGTGCTAATAGAGTCGGAACCAGTGGATACACAAAACAAGGAATAGAGTAAAGTACAAAAAAGGAAGCCGATGTTAATAATTTAGGTAGCTAAGTATGTTTAAGAAGGAGTTTACTATAGAATACAAAATAAGAGAGAAATAAAAGAGCATAAAATTATGTTGTTAATAACAAAGCAAGTCATAGGTTTCACGCTTAACATTGTCTCTGTCGCTTATCCACCATTCTAAATGTTTTTGAGTAATGAAGACACTATTAGAAAGAAATGATTCCAAAAAAATTTGCAAATCTGTCTGGTAATATTACACAAGTTTCTAGATATTGCATAATCGTTTTTATGTGAAACACTACAGAGGTTCGTGGTAGAATTTCGCCATGAAATTCAGTTCATTCATTGCACGGAACCCTTTATCTTAATACTAGTTGAACAAGTAAGTTGGCTTCTACTATGACTGTGGTTTCAATGCAATCACCACTTTGATAAATTCAGCTCTAAATTTCTTATTTGTAAACGAACTGTATGTTTCACTCTCTGATGAAGTAACTTCTCCAAAGCTAATATAAGATGACTAGTTTGGTGGAAAAGGAGAGACTTAATGTAGCCACTTCAGTATGTCTACTCTCTGAAAACATGTAACCTTTCAAATAACTTCTTTCGCCTTTCGTTTTTATATTCTTACTCATTCATGTTTAGGTGCTGCTGAGAAGTCTGCTAAACAAGGCGCTGCAGATAAAGCTCAAACTATTATGCAAGCAATCAAAGCATTAATGTCACAGAGAATTAATGAAATGCCTGAATTATTCGATTTACTTGGTTTAGTATTTAAAGTGGATAGTAAAACTCACGAACGGAATCTTCTCCAGGCTGAACAAAGTATACTTGATGGTACTAGTAAATGGTCAGCAAAGATTGCAATCACAAGTGAGTAAAAATTAAAGGATGAAGCGCATTATATTTCATTGTATTTCTGCCCAAAACACGGTGTTAATGAAATGAATTTAGCTTTTGTATTGTCAGAAACCTAAATTTATTGTCACGTCCCACTGCGTTTACCAGTTTACCCACATAAGGACAACCTATCGTTCCCTGCAGGCTGAGGCTACGGAATACATTCCTAACTGGTTAAAAGAACCATTGAAATTGCCTAATCCAATCGGACCTGGGAATAGATACCTAACGTCATATAGTGTCATACTGGAATCCTTTCCAGTGGTTGAATGGTCAACGGAGTCGCCTAGTAACCTGAAGGTCCTGGGTCCCATCTTCGATATGGTCATGGGTGCGCATTGACGAAGAGTCCAAAATTAGGACGAAACAGGTGTCCGATTCTCCGTGATTTTTAAATAGTCGTCTAACTGAAGTTGGCTCTTGATCGAGCTTGAAGTATAGTTAGTTCTTTTCTTTAGCTTTCAATAACAAACTCATGCCTACAATTTGTATGAATGCTTTAACATACACTGGGGCATCAAAATCACGCAGGTCAAAGAATAAAACCACAGTAAAACATGAATAAACTCCATTTGGTAAAATATTGTTTACATTTGTTAACAGAATATTGTTCTGTTTGTGAAAGCCCTTTATTCAGTGCTTTGTGGGTGAAACTGTCGTCTAAATTTATGCCTAAGGATAAGGTCAGGAACAACATTTAAGTCATCACAATAATAGGAATGTCATATTATCTATTAATATAAGACCCTAACCTGTCAATATATGAACGTACTATCATCAAGTAGAACAGTTTGGAAATCATGGGTAGTACACTAAGGCTTTGTAGATCTACTATACTGAATGTCCCATAGCCAGATAGTAACGGTTCTTTTTTCCATTCCTTTGCGCTCTAAATGGAACAAGCTTTGAAGCTCCAGTGATGGTGTTGTCTTTTCGTGCTGAGGTTGCTGGCCTCATACGCAAAATTCCTTCCTTTACGAGATTACTACCGGTTGGTTTACTGCGCGAAGTTTAGGAGTGTATCAGCCTGGAATCGAACCCAGACCTTCGCTGTGACCGGTAAGCATCTTTCCAGTGAATCACTAACCCGCTGACTAGTTTCACTTCGTGATAAGATCCACTGTAATGTAATGTCTTCACTTTTTCTAAAGAATGACAAATTTGTGAAAATAAAATGCTCATTATCTCTGCGATCATCATCAGTTATCACTCCCTTAGTGAAGCTGTTTCATTATATTAGTCAAATCAGTTTGTCATTCAACTTTGTTTTACTGTTTTTCAATGTATTTATTTTAAATTCTTTCAGTTAAATGTGCTCAAGGTTTAATAGGTAAAGATAAAACCGGTACAAGTGATCCTTATGTAACCGTGCAAGTGGGGAAAGTTAAAAAGCGTACAAAAACAGTTCCTCAAGAATTAAATCCAGTTTGGAATGAGAAATTTTATTTGTAAGTCAGTTTATATGTTATTATTTTTTATAAAAATATGTATTTCTTCCCTTTCTCAGTGAAATGAATGTATACTTTAAATGGGCACTAACTGGTGTCATTCGTCTACTCCTTTGTTTGGTGTAGACTGAATTCTATCCGTCATCTTCACAATGTGGCGTTCATGCTAAAATTCAGCTTGTACAAAACAAAGGACTACACCTTTGACAGTAGTTACTGTTTAGTGTCCGGTCATAATATCCAATGCAGTCCTACAGGAGGTCAGTTGTCAGCCCGAATAGCTGAGTGGTTATGTTTCTGACTGCACCATTGAGTGACAAAGGTTCGAACATCAGAGGTTACACGATTTCCTTCAAGATTGCAGCTACGCCTTGCTGAAGAGTATCAGCAAGCACGAAACCTAGGTAGAAGGCTTCCTGACGACACGAATGTAAGCGTACGTTTCTCACAATTTATTGGAATTTTCAACATGAAAAGTTAACTCATCACTAGGCGTATTCGATTCCAACGTAGATTGCATAGCTAGCCTAAACTAAAGAACATATTAATTTTATACAAAAAAAAGAAAACGGTTGCAGCCAAGGAAGAATTTCCTTCTGGGCGAAGTTATCAACTAGGCTGTACATTCGTAAATACCTAAAAAATATGAGAAAATTCTAGAACTATTTCCGGCAATGGTAAAAATATGGCGAATAACGAGAAGAACAAATGGGGATTAAAATAAGAAAATAAACAGGAAGTTCAGATGATAAACATATTTAAATACTTATTATTTCTTTGAGAAAAAACTGGTTATAATGGCCATGGTAAAGACAAACTTTGAATGTACTTCTTTTGGACACATGGCGTTGGCTCAAATGTCTGAAATGCTAATCTTTCAGGCATATCCAAACGTCTTGATTTCACCCCCTCTGAGAAGTTTGTTCTGGTCTTGTTTCAGACTGTGGAGTATTTTTCGAATAGCGCTAAGTGTCCCAAGTTCAGAAGGTATTCTGAATCAAAGAGACAATCCCATTCTGTCTTTGCTAGACTGGTTGAGTAGTATGCACGGCTGCGTTTTACAAGTAGACACATGGTACGGCCAACTTACTCAACCTCGTGGGAACAATTGATCTGGTACATGCATATTGATGTGACCTGATGAAACAGCTTGTCTTTCAAAGGCCGACCGAAATGTTTTGTATGAGGGAAAAGTTATTAGGAGGCTTTCAGTGAAGTAAGGTAGTCAATCGGTATTCAAACATCGATATTGTGTGGCTGCAGAGTATTACACTAAAAAGTAGATGACTTCTATCAGTGGAACGTTAGTGGATGAAGAAACGACATCCAAAGAGACCATTTTTTTCATCTGCCAGACTGACATTCCCAATTTGATCGATAAAATCAAATGTGTCTGGGACATTGTTTCTCGACAGCTTATCATTTACTTGTCCAAGAACCCTTACCACTCGCTTCGTAATTCTTTGATGCGGAGAGTTTATGATATGTAGTACTGGATAGAGTGGAACATCTTGTTCGTGTACTTTAGCTAACAAGTTTGGTCACGAGCTGATATCATTTAGAGAACCAGGGACTAGTGAACAGCTGTTTCTTTCTAGTTGTGGACTCTTCAACAATCCGCATTCATAGGGGTTTGAACCTAGAACCTTCCGGTTACAAGACAAGCTCATAGACCATTCAGCCAATGGGACCCAATTCAGTGGCCTATGGACTCCAACTTCTGTCAGTTCCTGATACTGAGCACAGTCGAGTAACTGTTATGCTGCCTGGCTAGCCAGAATTTGGGACTCATGGATTGGTCACAGTAGCTTAATTGTCTACAAGGTCGCCTTGTAACTGGGTTTGAACCCCTGTGAATGAGAACTGATGAGGAGCCCTCAACTAGGACGAAACAGTTATTCAGTACTTCCTGGTTTTCCAGTGATTCGAAAATAACCTCAAACCAGCACCTGATACTTTAGGTAAGTCGCACACGTGCCCGACTTTGTAGAAACAGATGAATGAAATCACCTACATAGTTCGGTGCTCATGAATTATTCATCTTTTATTCCCTTTAATATTTGCACCTTTTATTGCTTGGTCTGTTCAAACGGATCTTTCTGAGATCGTCTACATCATGACATGAGACTACAACTAGGTCTTTTGTCTGACCTGAACAGAACTTTTCTGTTAGGTTGGTTAACTTATGTTCTTATTTCACAGAATTTCAGTGGTTTGTATTTCAACTGAAGATGATGATACATTGGAATAATTAAATACATATTTTGCAGGGCTAGAGTGAAAGACTGTTTCCCTAGTTATAGGCTTTCGTCGAGGTGTAGTTTTCGAACGATGTTCTGTTACCAAGGTGCAATCAGTATAGAATGTGAGACCTCTGCCCAAATAATTAAAAACGTACAGCAACTATATGGTTGTTGGTGAATCGTTTCAGCATACACAGATTAGGAAATATACTGTTTCGTCTGTTATTCTTACAAAACGCACTCAGATATTTATGCATCTTCCAGTAAATTTTTCAGAAGCGAATTTTGATTGGATGGAGGATTTCATCATGAGCTGACATCACTTGGAGAACCAATTGAAAACCTGGGAGTACTAGACAACTCTTTCGTCCTAATTTGGGACTCTTCATCAGTACGCACCCGCCGGAGTTCGAACCCAGGACCTTCTGGTTGCAAGGCGAGCTCGTAGACCATTAATCCCCTGGGACCCGATCCAATGGCCAGCCCATGAATTCTAACTTCTGCCAATTCATGAGCTTGCCTTGTAACCAGAAGTTCCTGGGTTCGAACCCCGGTGGTTGCGTACTGATAAAGAGTCCCAAACTAGGAAGGAACAGCTTTCCAGCACTCTCAGGTCTCCCAATGGTTCTCTGATCAATGTCAGCTCATGATGAAATCCTGTAACCAATCAGTCAAATCCCTACGAAACCAATACTTGAGAAGTAAATTTTAACACTCGCCTTATAAAGTTTGAAGGTTGATCGCAGGAACCATTTCAGAGGCTTTACGTAATCTCTTCAAAATATTCCAGTTAAGTAGTATTTCATTTATGCAGCATTTAGAATTAGTACTTGATTTTAGCCTTTAATTTGTACCCGAAACAAGACTAAAATCTGGTTGCACCATTAATATACAAGAACCTACTTTGGCTATTTATACTTTTGAAATAGATATAATTATCTTGAATTGGGATACAACACGTCTAGAGGTATTTAGGAAAGATTGTTTTGTCGTTATCATATACTAATTATTCATATCTTGATGATGGATAGTTTCAGTCTTTCTAACAATTAGCTATTTCACTTGTTATATTAGTACTTCGGAAAAGTTTGGTATTCCAGCAAATCTTATCTGCCTGATAGAAAAAGAGAAGACGTTCAGTGAAGAGACTCTTTTCGGCGAATTCATTCACATAGCTGTACAATCACATTTATATACAATTATTTTGTTTGTGTGTGTGTGTACATGAGGTTTGTCAAGTTTAGATAATTGATCAGGTAATACAAGAATGATCTAATATAGAAACAAGGTTAATTAGATAGCAACTAAAGAAAGATTGAGTTAGTAAAATGTTTCAACTTAGATCAAGATAGCAACAGAGGTTATTACAGGTAGAGACTAAGTAAACAATTATTCATAATTCCACTCATCCGACCATCCTGTCTCTTTTGTTATTTCTACATTGCTAACCCCCAGTTGCACAATCACATCAATCTTCTCAGTAATAATGATGCTACTTTGTTTGAGTTTTATCCACCCCCCCCCCTGTTTATTATGGCATTTTACTTCCTAATTATAATTTTATTAATTTAACCCTTGACCGGAAATTATTCTGGAACTTTCCCACCCATTTATTATGTAATTTTACTAGTTTGACCTTTGATCTAAAATATTTCTAGGATAATACTACAACCTATCTACCTTACTATATTCTCTATCCGATCTTCGTGTTTATAAGACTGTGTAATTTTGTTAATTCCAAGTCAGTAAAAATGTAAATTAACAACCAGTCATGACAGTGGTTGCCAGGAGATACCACTGCATCATTCATGGGGAATTTAAATAAGTTCACTTTGTAAAAAATTATATTTGTAAAGTCTCAGCGAGATTGAAATGAGTAATTCCAACGTTTTGTTCGGCAATCTGGTCCGAACTTCTTCAGTGAAATTAATCGAAATTAACATAACATAGGTTTATGCATAATGAAAGGGACATGTCTTGTTTTTAAAAACTTTGTCCAATCATGAGTCATTCAACAAGTATAATAAACAAAATTTTATGAGCTGTGATCAAAATTTGACCTCGGACTTACAAATATTGGTCTACCTCTGTTAAACACTTTAAACAGAGTGTGTATATTTGTGTGGGTAAACAGTTGTAAAACATTTCTTAACGTCTCCATAAGAAGATATGGACAGTCGAGAATTTTGACCAAGCATTAATAATTAGTGATACATATCCATTTTATATTTATTAATAAGGATTTCCTATGCATCAGCTAACATCACGCCTTCATGTCTGTTCAAACTGTTAGTATATCTAGAATTTTATGATTAGACGTATTTTCAAAATTATGGTGTTTAGGATTAGAGTTTAGTTGAAGCACCCTGTCGGACTTATTGCTTTGTCTTCTTTCTGAAGATTGAGCTGCTTTATTCGACCTACTGAAGTTGTCAGGTGACTCGACAGCTACTATTCTGTCAAATCTTGACAACAGTTCATTTGAAGTCCACTTTATTACTATAACCTGCACTGAAGATGTCTAGAAGGTGGACAACGAAAGCTTCGCAATTAAACCATCAAACAGATCATAGAACACAACTAATTCAAACCTTTTTTCAACTAGTTGCTTTATAAACATGTAACACATATCTTCACTCCTATCAGTAATAGCTTTCAACACAACATGATTACTTTTGTGACGTTGTCAGTAGTTACTTTTTTTTCTGTATAATTTAGACTGTCTCATTTTAGTTTTGTATGTAAATTATAATTTTTTGTGTGTAATATAACCAACCACATGTGCTGCCTTTTCCTTTTTAGCGAATGTCATAATGCTTCCGATCGGATTAAAATTCGAGTGTGGTACGTTATCGTTTATGCATAGATTAAAGTTACTACGATATAAATATGCATATATATATATATATATATATATATTCTTTCCCATCTAAATAGATATTAATAGTAAATATAACTTCGTAATCGACAATCATACTAGTGTAGTAATAATTGTAGCGTTATTATCTCCGAATTGCATGTAATTATCTCTTTCCAGTTTATGTCGAGGTTGAAATTTGACATTACCGGAAGTAATTATGATCATTTCGCCATCCTTGTTTTTCTAAAATAGCCACTTTTAAGTCTGGAAAGCCTGTGTCTATACCTAATAATAATAATAACAATAATAATCTAATCCTATAGGAACGGACGAGGATGTCAAATTGAGAATCGGGAAGGCGAGAAATACATTCATCAACCTGAAACCAATCTGGAAATCTTCGTCACTCAACTCAGCATCAACAACAAAATTCGGATTTTCAATACGAGCGACGTCAAGTCAGTTCTTCTATACGGATCAGAAACTTGGCTAGTGTATCACAAAGAATATTTCCAACAGCCTGTTGCAGACATTTATCAACAACTGTCTTCGCTGGCTCTATACTGAAGATCAGATGGCCGGAAAGAATCACCAACAAGAAACTATGGGAACAAACAAAACAAGGACCAATCGCTCAACAAATATGCAGGAGAAAGTGCAGATAGACTGGAAACTCGCTGAGCTGAGGAGGCCACTGGGTAACATCGCTCGTCAGGCCATAGCTCGAGTGGAACCCGAAAGGGAAGCGGCGAGTGGGCGTGGACGTCCAAGGGTGACATGGAGGAGATCGTGTGAAGAGGAGCTGGAACAGTATGGACTAACATGGATGCAGGTGAAAAGTACAGCAGAAGACAGAAGCAAGTGGAGACGTGTAGCTGAAGCCCTATGTTCCAGTAGGAACCCAAGGGAACAATAATAATAATAGGCTTACTGTCAATGGTCATGAGCAGACGTTAAGCTACCCACTGTGATACATGATCAGAAATTGTGCTCTCCATGAAATAACCATCATAGTCTACAGTGCTACATTGAAAGCCTAGCGGTAAAAGGCATTTATACAAACAGAACTATGAGACGACTGGAATTGGGACAAATTTATGCGAATGCATTTAAACAGCTTATTATCATGCCATATATATATATATATGTATATATATATAGTCACTAAATGGTCAGTTATTTTTAACGGAGAATATCCCTACCACATGCTGTGATTTATTAATAACTTGAACAGACGACAGAAAACGATGTCTGTTTGTCGCCTAATCAGACAATACATCACGTTTTACTCCATCAACCTTTATATGGCTTTAAACAAGACTGTGTGGACAAAATGTCGTCTGGTGTGTGATTTATCAAATAATATTAATAATAGTAATAATTCTAATAATAGCTATGAAAGTTATCTAATCTAACACGTATTGCAAATTATTATTATCCCACCTTGAAACGCAAATGACTTTTCTTCTAATTTTAGTGGTCTTCTCATCATAGAAACTAATTTATTGTAAAAAAGAAAATGTCTTATCGCTTATCAGATATGTATAAAACTGGTTATGCTGCTAATGCTGGTAGCTTTAAATGAATGATATTCGGTAATGTATCCCCATTATATCTAGGGAGCATTGTCTCAACTCCAGGAGGAACCGACGAGGATGTCAAATCCAGAATCAGGAAGGCGAGAAACACATTCATCCACCCACCTGAAACCAATCTGGAAATCCTCGTCACTCAAATCAGCATCAACAACAAAATTCGGATTTTCAATACAAACGTCAAGTCAGTCAGTTCTTCTATATGGATCAGAAACTTGGCCAGTGTGTCACAAAGAGTATTTCCAACAGCCTGTTACAGACATTTATCAACAACTGTCTTCGCTCTATACTGAAGATCAGATGGCCGGAAAGAATCACCAACAAGAAACTATGGGAACAAACAAAACAAGGACCAATCGCTCAACAAATATGCAGGAGAAAGTGCAGATAGACTGGAAACTCGCTGAGCTGAGGAGGCCACTGGGTGACATCGCGCGTCAGGCCAGTGCTCGAGTGGAACCCGAAAGGGAAGCGGCGAGTGGGACGTCCAAGGGTGACATGGAGGAGATCGTGTGAAGAAGAGCTGAAACAGTATGGATTAACATGGATGCAAGTGAAAAATACAGCAGAAGACAGAAGCAAGTGGAGGCGTGCAGTTGAAGCCCTATGTTCCACTAGGAACCCAAGGCAACAATAATAATAATATCCCCATAAACTGGTTGGGATTAAGCTCAAGGATATAAAATGGTTTATTTTTTGCATTTAAGATGCTCCTCGATTGTATAATGGTGTGTATCTCAGCTTATCAGGTGGAGGGTCTGAATTTGACTCCCGGTCGAGGTGTTGGCTTGTGAGTCGGTGATTCATCGGTAGAATGCTTACTAACCACGACGTGTGGTCCACGGTTCGATTCCCGGTCGACACATTTCTAAACTTCAGTTAATTGGTAGTAAGACTGGTAAAGACAGAAGGTTAGGCGGAGGGCTATCAACTCCAGCCCTAAGTTCTACTAGGGACGCCAAGGAATGAAAACAGCGAGGCCACCGAGTGTGAAGATGCTAGGTGATATAAAAGTTTTTAGCGTTTCATCCTCCGCTAGTTAGTATATTTCATACTGTACTGATAATACTTTAATTTAGCAGTATTAAATGTATGATTTTACTTACTAACTCAAAATAATCACTATTTCATTTATTTCCTATCCTTTTGTACACACTTCCATCAATCATATTATCATTGTTAACATACACGTCTTTATAAATATACAAAACTAAAAACCTTCACATGTAAAAAAAACTATGCATATTTAAATAAAGGGATGAAGATTATGATCTCAAATCAAAAATACGCCAAAAGTTAACTCGTGAATCCGATGACTTTCTTGGTCAAACTATTGTGGAAGTTCGTACATTGAGTGGAGAAATGGATGTATGGTATAATTTAGGTAAAATCCTTATGCCTTCAACTAGTTATTCCTCAGTGTTATCGTAAAAGTGGTGAATGATGAATATATACATTCGTGTATACGTGACCATATATCTGTTTCATATGTATATGTATTTACTGTTTTTCAATGTGTACAATAATTAATTATATTAGCTGTTTTCATACATTTTTTCCTCTGATTCAAGCATGCTATTGTCCGTCATCATTCTAGGTAGCCTTTTCAAAATAGATGTATTCCTCCTATGGAATATCAATACTACTTATATCTGATAGTGAGAGGTAACCGTTATAGTCATTCCCGCGAAAGTAACTCCGTTACAAATAGTTAGGTAATCATAATAATAGTGATAACCTTAGATCAATCACTAAGGACAACAACTCGTATAGATTATAAATTATTTAAATTAATCCCAGCGTGTTTAAGGAAATCAAAACAAGATTTTTCTGAACGTTTCGCTGTGTAAGCCACAGCTTCTTCAGCAGATTTGTTGATAATAAATCTGCTGAAGAAATTTTATTTTATAATGAATCAATCTGACTCGGCGCTGAAATTATTCCAAGAAGTTCGCAACACCTACGGTCTGGAAACTTATAACAACTCGTATAGTTTCCTTATTTTATAAAAAATTATTTAATCTAATAATATTGTCAACTGTCTAACCTTGTTTCTTTTCTTTCTTTTGTGTTTTTTGCAAAACTTTGCTGTTTGTTGAAAAAAATACACAATGTTGCTTGTTTGTGCTCACTGTCTAACCCACAATATATCATAATAATAATAATAACCAAAATAACCAATCACCGTCACTGTGTTTTCTTTTGTTTTCTTTTTTTTTGTTTTAATTTTTGTTCTAACCACTTACTGGTCCACTAAACTTGACTTATTTCACCGGCACAATCACCAATAAAATGTGCTTTCTATGTTGTTTTGCTAATTCATGTTAATCACAATGCTTTTCACGCATTACTGACCCATTCTTCTGTTATAATTTTGCTTTATTTTTGCTAACCTATCTGTGTTTTTTTTATTTATGTTCACCGGACTTTTTGAATTGATTTCGTTCTACACTCCATTCCTGATTATCACCAATTTCTGTCTCTCTGTTTAATGATATGAATGAACTATGACTGTTGTCTACACTCACTTGTCATCACCAACATCATCATAATGTTCACACTGCATCTTTTTATTTTTACTTTTGTTTCAAATTTGATTGGTTTTGTCTTTTTTGTTTTATTTTATTCTTCTTCGTTTTACACCATGGTTCTCTTTTTGTGTGTGTGTTCAACGTGTTATGGTATCTGCTTCTCGGTCTGTGCCCGAATGGTTGTCGATATCTAGGGATGAAGATAATGATTTACGGGCTAAACTACGCTCAAAACTTACTTCAGAATCTGATGATTTTCTAGGTCAAGCAATTATTGAACTACGTACTCTGTCCGGTGAAATGGATGTTTGGTATAATCTTGGTATGTGTGTGTGTTTGTTATTCATACAAAACTGACACAAAAAGGCTGCTTGTTATTGCTTTTCTTTTATGTTTTGTATTATTCAAAACAGAGTAGTGTGAACTGAATCACTGAAACTAATCTGATGGTCACTAGTAAGTAACTGGCTACAGGATAAAGTTGCCTGGAGCGCATTCTTGTGATAATTCGTGTTCAGTGGAATCCATCCAGTCGGAAGTGAGGATAAATACTCGCCGAGGACATTAGCCGGTACCAGTTGCGTTAAACTCACGAAATGGTAGAAGTTAGAATTCGTCAGCTACTGAGTCGGGTCCCAGTGACTGAATGGTCTATGAGCATGACTTGTAACCGGAATGTTCTGAGTTCAAACCCTAGTGAGTGAGCGTACCGCTGATGAGTCTCAAACTGGGACGAAACAGTTGTTCAGCACTTCCTGGTGGTTTCCAATGGTCCTCTGACTGATATCAATCCTTGGCCAAACTTCAAATAAATCAAACCTCTACAAACTAACTAATGACAATCTTATTCTATATAATACTTACACATTTCTTCAATTTGTGGGTGAAAGAAAATTCATCTTAGTTTTATTACATCTCCATCTTGTTACACATTTTTGTTAAAGTACAGAGAAAACAACAGAATACTCTTCAATAGTTTTCTTTAAAATGCCGTAAACGCCTGAGACACATTAGTGTTTCCACGTTTCGTTGAAAACAAATACACTTCATGTTTATCTTAAACTTACCTCCTGCAGTTCTTTTTTAACAAAAAAAATTGTTTTTCAACTTACTGTGTGTTATTAGACAGCTATTTCTCATTGAAACTCTCTTAGCTTGTGTCAGGCCTTTATTCAGGTAATTTTCATGTAACTAGACACATTCATGCCCTTTTTCTTTTCTGAAGTACTATTTTATCTTGGATCACTTTCAAGACAGTTAGTTATTCTCCTCAAGCATCATCACTTGTACTTGTGGAGGAATAGATAAAATAGAGAATAGCAGTAGTGAATAATGTGACTAGCAAATACACCAGTGAACCAAATAGTCCCTCCCCATTAGAGTGTAGTTCTACGGAAGTTCAATTAGTGTACGCCATTATTAGTGTTTGCTTGATCTCTTGATCTGTAAAATAATTCAGAGTCAAACAAACCGGCGTATAAGCTAATCATTAATCAAATCTTCAATTAGTTGTCTATTAAGCCGATGCATGAACTAGACAAAAACATCAGTGTTATTAATTCCCTCCTGTTTTTTTTTGTTGTTGTTGTAATTAACGTTTCCACTGTTGTAATTTATTGTTGTCTTTGCACTCATAACTACTATACTCTTTAGTCATTAATGGTACCAACTTCCGCATGTAAAATGGCTATAGGTTTATGTTAATGAAACAGTATCTATGTGTTGTTGTTGTTTTTTTTTGAGTTCTCAGAATATACACTGTCTACGGTTACATTGAGAATTGATTCGCTAACGTGAAAAATAAGCAAAGGATACAAGTGCTTTATTTTGTAATCTTTGTTGTAACAGTCTGTCACTTGTGCTTTTTGTTCAACACTGCCGTCGAATTAAGTGTTTATGAAAACCGCTTTTTTTGTGTGTTTTGAGTGTTAGTGTTTTCAATATTTGTTTTGTTAAAGTTTATCTTTTTTGGTTTTGTTTATTCTCCTACTCCACTCCTTCCTTTTTATTCATCCCTGCTCTTTCATCTCATCTTACCTTTCTTTATCTTAACACTTACTCCCTTCTTGTTCTACCTGTTACTCTCCTAATTTATGCCTACTAATTCTTCCTTTTCCCCCTTATTTAATTTCGTTTATTCAATGTTGTTCTTACTGCTGCTCTTGTTTACAATATGTTCTCATTATTTATTATTTCTTAGAAAAACGTACGGATAAAAGTGCTGTCTCTGGTGCAATTCGTTTGTTTATCTCCGTGGAAATAAAAGGCGAAGAGAAAGTTGCACCTTATCATGTCCAGTATACATGTCTACATGAAGTGAGCAAAGAAAACTTACGTTTATTTGTGGTTTTTTCTGATGTATTTCTTCATAAACTGGTTGTATACTGGTTTATTTATTAGACTATAGTATGTGCCCCATAGATCAAAACTACTGTTTATCCGCTAAGGACAGAACTAGTTCGAAAGGTCAGCAGACGCAGAGGCTGAAACGCTAGAAGCCATAAACTTATGTGCTACTACCAATGTTATATATAGTCATTATACTAACTTATAGATATATTCTGTCAAAGCACTGGGTACCCCGAGTTCGAATCTCAAAAGGGATACATCCTGCTGGCAACCCTTCGAATCAGAATCCAAGAACACAAATCAGCCGTGAAAAGACACGATATGTATTCTTTCATATCAATGCATGTAGATAATTATGGACATCAATTTGATTGGGACAATGTCGAAATCTTAGAGAGGAAACACCAAAAGTGCCAGGGAATTCCTAGAAGCCTGGTACTCAAACGAAAATGCAATTAACAAACACGTTAATATAGATGAAATATACCAACTAATAAAAAGTAAATCAGGTGACCAGAAAGTTTAAAATCCAAGTCAATAGAAAATGGTCAATACATATGTAAAGATGGTTACCGGGAGACGCAATTATATCACTCATGAAGAAATTTAAATCAGTTCACTTTATGCTAAAAATTGCGCTGAAGATGTTGTCCAGAAGGACGACGAAAGCTCCGCAACTAAGTCAACCAGCTCAGAGAACACTATTAATTGCAAATCATCCAACTGAGCTACAAATCTTCTCTATTAGTTGATTATATTCTTGTCTTTATACGTACTGCTGACGCTCAAACTAGTTTTCAAGCTTAGTAATAACATGGATGCTCTTCTTCAGCTGTACGTCAGTAATAAAAAATAAAGGAAATCTCCTTCATATTTCTGTCCGAGCATATTCTTAGGCATCTCTTCTAATAATCACCCTAAATATCATTCTTTTCAATGTAGTATTCCTAGTGATTATGAATAAGTCTCAGTGATTTCTAGTTGCACTTGCTACTAATAACCACTTAAATGTTGTGCGTTGGTGGTTCGAAAGTCGAAGACTCGTTGGCCACGCTAGATTTCCGGGCTCGATTCATGGTCGATATACTCCTAAATCTTCCTTTAGCTGATAGTAAGCGCAGGAAAGAGTGAACTTTGGGCATGAGGTTAGCAATACTACCCCGTAAAAACAATACAGCAGCTACTTTAAACTTCAAATGAACTGCCCATTTAACTTTATTGATTTGCAGCAATATCGGAGTAATATCAGTGGCTGAATGGTATACGATCTTGTCTTGTAACTGGAAGGTCCTGGGTTCGAACCCCAGTGGGTGAGTACCGCCGATGATCCCCAGACTAGGATGAAACAGCTGTCCAGTACTCCCTGCTGGTTTTTGTGTGTCGGTAGCACAGCGGTTAGGACTCTCGCCGATTATGCATATGGTCCGGGGTTCGATCCCCTGCCGACGCACACCTGATGTCAATGGTCAGCCTGCAAAATTTGGGCTACCGATATCACATGCTGAAAATTCCATACTTGTACCAAAAACACGGTGTGGAATCAAGCTATAATCAAAAATATTTTTTTAAATATCTCACCTCCAGTAGTTTCCAACGGCTCCTCAATAGTGAGGTTGTTGAAGCGATCAGATGTGTCCGTACCAGTTGTTGGTGAACAAAACTCAATCTAAAATTATGATTTCCCAAGGACAAAACCACCAAGAGTTAAAAAATTCACCAAGCAGAATTTGAGTGATGGGATATATATTTATATATATGTATATATTGAACACTAGGTAATAAATAATGTCATGCGTCTAGTCCTGCCTATTGTCTCCAATCATCTAATGTCTCCAATCATCATCACCTATCATGGTGATCACATTGCAAACTTGGCTGACAGAATTCTATCTGCACCAAACGAAGGAAGGACAAAGCGCATGACATTAGTTATTACCTGGCATTCATTACAGTCCGAATAGCTCAGTGGTAACATCTCTGAATTCAGCACTGGTTGTTCCAGGTCTGAGTCCCGGAAGGGGCATGGGTTCCTCCAAGTTTGAAGATGCACATAGCTGATGAGCGTCAGTGAGCATGGAACCTAGGTCAAGCAAGGCTTCCAGCCGATTGCCTCCAACCATCTAATAACATATATATATAATGTGGCAGTGTATACGCATTTTTACAATCATCCGGATATCCTACCCAACTCTTCTAGTTGTTTCGTGAAATCCAGACGTGATGCATACTTCTTCCTATACTATCAGATCAACATTCCTAAACTATAAGTAGTCAAGTATCGGAATTCATCGAAACTTTTCCAGGCACATTGTTTACTGTTGGAAGCTGCTTAAAATTAGTTCAATCTTTTTTTTAATGAAATTATCAAGTTACTGACTAAAAATTACCGTACTTCATATTTGGCGTTACACATTTGGAAGTTATGACGAAGAAGCTGTGTGTTTGTTTTCCGTTACAAAATTCGGAGACGAATTCTACCTGAAAACTCTAGATTTTGCTATCAATCTAGCAAATCAGTAATACTGCGCATTGGTCGTTAGTAACTTGGCAGAAACTGCAGTTTCTAAACAAATATATGAGCTTTTACAAGGTTACAGGCACAATTTGTTAGCAAGTACAAATAAACGTCAATCTTCCAGCATCAGAAGCCAACACTTGAAAAATTGGCCGGATGCTCACTGGTGACTGTCTGCACACATGACGTAACCTGGAGTTCTAGTGAGAAGTTGTGACCAGAAGGGTCCATCAAGTCAGTTAAAGGGATAGTTACTCGTCGATGACATTAGCTGGAGGTTACGGTATATATGTCGAGAATTAGCAGAAGTTGGAATCCATGGGGTCATTGAACTGAGTCTCACTGGCTGAATGGTCTACTAGCTCATCTTGTAACTGAAAGGTCCTGAGTCCGAACACTGGTGAGTGCGTACTTCTGAAGGGTCCAAAATGGGACCAAGCATCTGTCCAACTCACCACTGAACCTGTTGTCATTCAAATCCCTGCAAACCAACCCTTGAAAATACTTCATTTTCACTATAAATTACGATAACATAGTGACTAGTTATTTTGAATTCAAAAAATAAGCTATTTGTTAGAGAGAGCAGTTTATTATAGCTTAAAACACTTATCGATATTAGATGAGTTACATCAGTTACTTTCACGCCATCTGTTTGCATTTTTCATAATCCATTAGTGTGATGTTTCTGATGCGCATGTCTATGCATTGATATGATAACAGTGATTAAAAAAAAACATTCTGTACTCGTGATGTGTAAGCAGCTACGTCTAACTGAAATGTAGTGTACTTCTTCTTTTCCCTCTTCATCTCCTTTTTTTTACTCTTTATGTTTTGACAAGTAAAATATTATTAAATAGGCTTTTAACACACAGTGATAATGTAAATGGATACAATGTAAACAGAAATGATCAAAATGGATATTGATAAGAAAGACACAATGTTTTTTTTTAAATAGGATTATTTATTTAAACAATGATTAGGTGAGAGTGGGAGACTCTAGGAACACCAAACTAAAGCTGATATGCAGACGTGGAAAGAATGTCGAAAACAGTCTGCTCAATAGCTGCGTATGTATTTGTCAGTACTTAAGAAGAAACTGGCATCATTGTCTTAGATAGTGAATAGGAATTATATAAAATGGAATAGAAGTTTACAAGTGTTATTAGAAGACGGAGATTATCTGAAAAATGTGATGTATTTGCGCTATACATTTCGAACAATCTGATCACACATTTACTTGTCAAGTCAATACATATGGAAGAGTTAAATTAAACAAAGTGACAAAAAAAGAATTAAGAATAATTAACACAAACGTTTGGTAATCCAATCAAATAAGCATTACCAAGGTAGGTTAAGAGTAATAACCTGACTGATAGAATTCAGTCTGCACCAAAGAGAGGACTAGACGCATCACACTAGTTACTAGTATCAAATCAGAATAACCAACTGTTTTTGAATACACAACGGGGGCTTAAGTTTATGAGTGGCTATAGCCTCAGCGTATTTCAGTAAACTTCCTTGACCGTTTTTATAGATGACCTTAAAGCCTGGGTTAACATCAACCTTATGGTTCATCTCGATTAGATGTTTAGCTATAGACAACGTTGGTAGTCTGACACCTGCATCTATTGGTTTGTCACAATTTATCTGTTTTTCTAACCATTTTGGGATATGCTCTCCCATCCTCACGTGCAACGCGCGATTACTCCTCCCTATGCATGTATGTCTACACACACACACACACGAAAATTGGTAAATTGTGTGGGATGTGATATAATCACTTGTGCACTTTTGAGGTTTGCAGTGAAACATATTTTTAGCTTTTTCCACAATTACAAGCTGGGCTGCATAGTAGGTTCTACGGACTAACTGTTTTAAATCTAAATGACGTAAAAATAACACCTTGTTAGTGGAAAAATGTGTTCTCTCCGGGTAATTTTTGTCCTGTAATATTGCTCAAAGTGTCATCAGAATATTTTCCCGTGGCAAATGAAAACTCTCCTTGAAGACAAAACTGAAGGGAAGTTTCTCCCTACGAAATCTCGGGGAGAAATAAAACGTCTTTTGTTTTTCAAAAAGACATGGTTTCACACATTTCTGTTGTCGACATGACAGAGTCAGTGACAAAAGGGTACTGGCATAATAATCGTCTGAGCGTAAAGGACTAATCCAGGAGGAAAATGAATAAAGCAAGACCAGCAGTTTGTGCAGAATAAGATGGTACTATCATTTATTTCGTTGGCTTCTCATCAACTGCATGGAGCCTAAAGAAATTGTTAAGTTTATGTGCAGAAAAGTTTTAACATACTTGCAAGTATTACGTAATGTCAGTTAATGACAGAAGACTCCAGACTAAATAAAAAGTGCTCAGAGATTGCACTTATATGTTTTATACCCAGAAAGTTCAAGTTTAAACTAAATTAAAGGCTTGGATACAATTTTGAAAGAGTTACATAATAAAGGCTAGAGGGGAATAAGATTATGACCAACTAATAAGTAGAGTATCAATGCTGTGAGTTCAATTCAAATCACAAAAACAAGAGACAAGCAAAGTTACACTACATCAAAAGAGGGGAAAGGTTAAAGCCAAGAATTACGTAATCAGGTGAAAGAGAGAGAGAAAGAAGGACCAAAGACATCCAATTACTAGGAGAAATACTTCACATACCTCTGTCCTACATACTTGAATGATAAACCGGAAAAATAACTTAGGATTGGTTATATATGACTCGCCATTCATGATGTTGAATGTTTCAGTGCCATTGAATTAATCCTTCGGATTTGTTACCTGCACTTCCGCAGCATTTCTGTCAGCCGACGTACTATGCATGCATAAGGATGTATCTTCATTTATCTCACATACCCTTGCTACTGAGGTTAAACTACAACTACGAATGATTAAAACATACTTCTGTGAAACTTTATACTACTGAGTAATTGAGGTGAGTATTTGTATACCACTCACATCAACCAGTTGTGCTCGCCTACAAGATCAAAGTGGTCTAACCACCGGACAGATGTTTTGCACTTTTTGGGGGTCGAGCTCATCAACGATGTGTTCATTTTCAGTCAGCTCAAACCGCCCGATTTCTGGCCAGCTGCTTGGGTGAACCGATGACGCCTAAAATCCAAATCTTCTGAGTTGAATCAAACTGAGTACACCCGCCGTATAAGCTGTATGAGCTCGATCGTAAACCAGCAAGACGGTATAACTGGCGAATCACATACTGTCGTGATCTGAATAATTGAATTGTATATGTCCAAACCAAGTTCACTTTTAACAGTTTGAAAAAATTTGGGCATTGGATATATGATATTCATTATAATAAAAGTTTTCTTGTATTTCCTAATGAATGACATCAGAGTGTTCTTAAAAACATCAGACACACTACGAAGCAGCCTTCTCAATATAAAAGACCGAATCCCTAAGGATTCTCTATCTAATTGTGTCTATAAAATAAAATGCTTCCTTGTAATGTGACGCGATATGCATCGGACAGACCTCACCAGAGAGAAATCAAAATTCGAAGAAATGAACACCGCAGAGTGAGTGGCTGTTCGACCACCGAGAAATAAATCCGGTTGAACTAGAAAAGCTTGAAAAATCATCAGCCATAGGTGGTCTACACGCTATAGAATCAGCCCACAAAATTGATTCTGACCATGTGGAAATCATCATCCAGAAAAAGCATTTCAGAAATCACAAATAACATCCCATTTCACCAGATGCACTTCATATCAAGTAGAATCAAAATTTTCTGAATAGAAATGATTCACTAAAACAGAACATGACCTGATTACAACACCTCCCTACCGTCTCCCATGAAATGACAAAATCAACACGAATATGATAAGCAATTTCATTATGTAAACACACGCTGCTTTTATAATTCTATACGCTTATCAAATCCAACAATCTACACTTGGTTTTGTTATCTTTACCAATTGGCCAATTTGACAACGCAAAAATGCCCCCATGCTGAGGAACGATGATTAACTTGCTGTAGATATAAGCTGAGATTTTGTAAATTCTGGTTTAATATCACTACTTTGATAAAGCTATTAGCAGCAGCATTAAATAGCGAAACGTCAGTAAAAATAACAATATCGTTTTGTTTTCGCATTCACTGGGAAATGCAAGAAAACCTTTATTATAATAAATAATTGAATATTCCAAAGGAAACTCGTAGGCGGTGAAATTTTCACCTCCTGGAACTGTTTAAATTTCAAATTGCGAATCTGAATTAAACCGCACTGTTTTCACTGTATAGTGAATTAACGCAGTATCCAATACATAGAATATCCCCATTAAGATTTATATATGTGGGTGGTTATTACCAGACAGACCGACAGACAGTCTGAAATTTTTAATTTTAGAAGAAGAAAAAAAATATTCACTTGTCGACTTCATCACGGATGGCTGCAGAGTAAAGAGGAAGTGAACTTTTTCACATTTTCATATTTTAAAGAAAAATATGATTTCCTTTCGGTTAAGAATCAAAAAGCTTCTGAATGTATCAGGAGCGAGAGAGAAGAAAACAAAAGAGTAATAGACTACGTTAACCTTTGCACAATTTATTTATTCCATTATGGATAAGATTTTATTTGGATAAATCACACAGTGTTGTTGTACAGTAATATTAACTGATGACCACCTTTCGAGCACAATTAACTGCCACTCATAATCATAGCAAGTCACTCACATAACGTTTTTCTTCATTTATATACATGTATGGAATTGACTAGATATTTGAATAAAAACCAATGTGAGATAATGTACATTCAGAAATAATAGTACGAGTGTAATTGAGCAAATACAATCAGATGGGAAATAAGACGAGTGTGTTTTTAGTCATAATAAGTAACTTGTTAGAATGTTGCGATGTGTGTGAATTGAAATCGAATTTTGAGATTATTTATTATCCTCTTCTAAGTTGACCGGCGGTAATAATATTTTCCATATTTCTAGTATTTGCATCGAGTCATTTCCGTTGCATGTGTTGGGTGAAGAAGGATTCAGTAATCAACCTCTCTCTCCACCTACATAGATTACTTCTTTGAATTTTAACCCTCTCCCAGCCTATTGTGTGGTTGTGTGTTAATGCGTGAAGTGCAATTGCTGAGCTTTTTTCTAAATTACTTATTTCTCGGGGTCAACCATTCTTACCTTAGCTAAATTCTTATGTTCCGACAATCTGATTACCCCCGATCTGCTAGTCTGACCTATATAGTTGACCTCACAGGCATTACAAGGTATTTTGTAAATTATATTATTTTGTTTAATTGGGTCAATCAATAGGGTCATTTAGCCTACAGAGCTTGTCTCTGAGTGAGTTTGTAGGTTTGAATGCCACCCTAATTCCTGCTTTATTAAGAATCCTACGTAGGGTTTCAGATGTCCCGTCCTTATATGGCATAACAGTGGATGACTTATATTCTCTCTTTTTTATGTTATCATTACTAGTTTCACAATTATTTTTGTTTTGCTTTTGACCTTTTTCGATCTTCCTAATGAATTTTTTAGGATAGTTATTCAACGCCAACGCTTCTTTTCTTTCTGTTTTATTTCATCATTTAGGTCTTTTCTTGTGTACTGCTCGGTTTGTTAAACACTTAACTAAGCCTGCCTTAAAGTCAAAATATATATTTTCCCATCTGATTGTAACTGATCAACAACACTCATATTATTATTATTTCTGAATGTACATTATCCTATATTGATTTTTATTCCAATATCTGGTCCATTCCACACATGTATATAAATGAGGCAAAGAAGTTGTGTGAGTGACTTGATATGATTATGAGCAGCAATAGTTTGTGCTCGAAAAGTGGTCATCAGTTAATATTACTGTATAACAACACTGTGTGATTTTATCAAAATAAAATCTTATCCATAATGGAGTTATGCTCTACCACAGTGCCCAAGTGTTATACTTATATCAGTTTTATTTATTGTTTACTTTTGTAACTGTGAATAATAATAATCAGTGGTAACTGAAACAATAATTTCCTATCTCTGTTTATTTTTTTCGTTTCTTCACACTAGAATATCTTTCATTATTTATGTGAAACAAATAAAAGTGAAGGTAGACCAGAAGTCAAGTTGCCTGAAGCTTCTGGAGTAAGTGAAATGATACATATTCTATTTCCTTCTCCATCTTTTCATCAGTATCTAGATATATATATGCATTAATTCTTTGCATCTCTATGTTAATAAATTAATTTGTCTCAATCCACTCTTTATCCAGATTTCCTCATTTATCTTAGTTATTTTCTTTTCATCATGAGCTGACATTATTTAGAAAACCATTGGAAAACCTGTGGCTTAATAGTATACGAGCTCGCCTTGTGAACCAGAAAGTCCTGGGTTCGAATCCCGGTGGATGCGAACTTCCGAAAAGTCCCAAAACTAGGACGAAACAGCTGTCCAGTACTCATTCAAGTAACCTGAAGTTTAAGTAAATCACATTTGTTTGAATTATAAAAGTCAAAACAAGTGATTCAGCAAAGAGACTCTTTTCAACAACGAATTTATCATCAAGCTGTACAACCGTATACATATACGGTTTTTAAGAAGTTATATCCGATGAGGGAATTGAATCATAGGTGTGAATGCACAAAATGATACTAGTAGTGGTAAGAAATACAATTAAAATGTTTGTGATTACAATCGTAGTGAAATGTCAAGTGGCAAAGCAAATTATGTCATATACAGAATAATTCATAGGACGGACAGAACTTGAAAAAGGGTGTGCAATTATAAGATTAGTAGACAAATCGAATAAAATAAAAACGTTACGTAATCCTGTATGAAATTTAATAGCATAGAATTTGATGTTGTAGAAAGGAACTGATTTAGAATGACAAGTGGAACAATACCGGATACAGTTCAAAGTGGGAGTAGTAATAGTAACAACTGACGTAATAAGGAAGAGTATACAAATTGAACAGACAAAAATGAAAAAAAATGAAAAACTGATAGAGCTAAAATATTATTGGGGATTACCATACTTTAGCATAGAGGGATAAAGATCATGAGAGTTGGAGGGGTTGAACGAACTTTTTCTGTACTACTACTCCCACTTTTAACTGTCCCCGGTATTATTTCACTTGTTCCACTTGTCACTCTAAATCAGTTCCTTTTTACAACATTAGATTCTATGCTATTAAATTTCACATAATGTTACGTAACGTTTTTATTTAAAAACAATTAGTTCCCTTTATGAATTTAGATAAAGCAATAAGCAGACGTAATTTGTCTGAATCGTGCAATGTATTTGCGTAACACATTTCGAACAATCTGATCACACACGGACTTGTCATAGGAACATATACGAAATTAATAGATTCTGAAGATTCCATTTATTTCTGGAGCCATTTAGGAATATGCTCTGAAGCCCTTACTTGCAGAGATCGATGAGTCCTCCCTATGTATGTGTGTCCACACGTACATTCAAATTGGTAACTACAGTGGGATGTGACGTCATTTTTCTCATGTTCGAAGGGCTTAGATAGATATATTGGCTTTACATTCTCTATTATTATGATATTGGCTGCATAAAAAGTCTTTTTGACAGCAGAGTTCAGTCTTTGTCTAGTTATCAAGCTGCTTTGATGCCCCGTATAGGGTAGCTTGATGTACACGTCTTTCTTAGGGGCGAGTTGGAGAGTGGGTCTTGGTGTTCTGACTACTTTATACCTCCTGATGAACTTGTCTGGATAATTGTTATCAGCCAGAGTTTGTGTCAACTTTCTTTCTTCTTCATCAAGTGTGTCTTCAGTGCATATTCGTTGGATTCTACGGGAGAGGCACCTTACTAAGGCTCTTTTGTACCGAAGAGGGCAGAAACTGTGTTAATTCAATTTGTATACTCTTCCTTATTACGTCAGTTGTTACTATTACTACTCCCACTTTGAACTGTATCCGGTATTGTTCCACTTGTCATTCTAAATCAGTTCCTTTCTACAACATCAAATTCTATGCTATTAAATTTCATACAGGATTACGTAACGTTTTTATTTTATTCGATTTGTCTACTAATCTTATAATTGCACACCCTTTTTCAAGTTCTGTCCGTCCTATGAATTATTCTGTATATGACATAATTTGCTTTGCCACTTGACATTTCACTACGATTGTAATCACAAACATTTTAATTGTATTTCTTACCACTACTAGTATCATTTTGTGCATTCACACCTATGATTCAATTCCCTCATCGGATATAACTTCTTAAAAACCGTATATGTATACGGTTGTACAGCTTGATGATAAATTCGTTGTTGAAAAGAGTCTCTTTGCTGAATCATTTGTTTTGATTTTCTATTTGTTACAATGGGGATTTTTCATGAATTGTAAAACTTATGAAATTGGGTTTATTCAGTGGTAAATTCTTAAAAAAGAAGGTGGGAGAAACAAATGACATAGACTGTGAATCTTTTTAAAGTGACTGTAACGATCAGAATTGATCCGTTGTGGTTTGAATGCAGGAAACGGATCTTCGCATCCTACTGTATTATGGTTGACCAAAACTTCCTTGAGTCACGCACACACAGTCACAAAACACTCCAAAGACGGTTATTTGGTTGTTTACAGGATTCCATCATGAGCTGACATTGGTTAGAGAACCATTGGAAAACCTGTAGGGATTAATGGACAGCTCTTTCGTCCTAGTTTGGGACTCTTCATCAGTACGCATCCGCTGGGGTTCGAACCCAGTACCTTCTGGTCACAAGGCGAACTCGTAGATCAATCAACCAAATCCCTACAAACCAATACTTAAATATCAATGAGATGCTCACTGGCGACTGGCCTTATTCAGGTAGGTACTAGTGGGAAGTCGTGACCAGTAGGGTGCAGCAGGTCGGGTGTGGCGCCAAATGCTCGCCGAACATATTGGCTGGGGGTCGCACTATGTCGTGAATTGGTCGAAGTTAGAATTCATGTGCTGGTCATTGAATCGGGTCCCAGTGGCTGAATTGTATACGAGCTCGCCTTGTAACCAGAAGGTACTGGGTTCGAACCCCGGTGGGTGCGTACTGATGAAGAATCCCAAACGAGGAGGAAACAGCTTTCCAGTTCCCCTGCAAGTTTTCCAATGGTTCTCTAACTAATGTCAGCTCATGATTAAATCCTGTAACCAATCAACCAAATCCCTACAAACTAATACTTGAGTTATGTGGTTGTATTCAACAGTGTTTTCGTTAAGCAGCTATACAGACAAGTACTGTACAACAGAATTTGTTAACAGAAATTCCCAGAATATTCTCAGTCGACTAGGATCAAAACCCTGTCTACAAGAATCACACACACTAACAATTCCTTTGGGTAGTTGAAAGTCAGAATGACCTCGATTCACTCAACAACAAAAAAAATCACATAGTAAAACAAGACATTATCATTGTCATCGTACAACCATAAAGAGAAGCATTAAAATTAGGGATTAAACAATGACAATGACAAATTACAAGGATCAAGTCAGCATATGAGATGCAAATTTCACAACAATGATAAACAGTCTGGGATGAAAGAGGGGAATAATTACAAAGTTAGCTGAAATATTGAAATAACTATGAATATTGTTATTAGATAGTCCGTGGTGGATTTTCCAAACAATTATTCCGTTTTAATTACAAAATATTCTTTAGTAATTAGTTATTACAAGTGTAACGAGGTTTGCAACTGACTTTCTCCAAATTATTATTATCAATTCCTTTAATTCCTAGAGGAACATAGGGCTTCAGCCCTGCGTCTCCATTGAGTTCAGTTCTCTGCTAGGGTCTTCACCTGGCTCCAAGTCTGCCAACACGTTTTCATCTCCTCTTCACATGACCTCCTCCTAGTCATCCTTGCACTGACGACCAACTCGCCGCTTCCCTTTCGGGTTCCGCACGAAAGCTTGTGTAGTGATGTCACTTGATGGTTTCCTCAGAGTATGGCCAGCCAATCCACCTCCATTTCTTCCTGCCGATTTCTTTCACAATCGGTTTCTCGTTGGTTCGCTCCCAGAGATCTCTATTGCTGATCTTTTCTGGCCGGCCATCTGATCTTGTGTACTGAGCGAAGACAGCTGTTGGTGAAGGTCTGTAGTTTGTTTGAGGTGCTCTTTATGACGCTCCAAGTATCTGATCCGTATATCAAGTAGCACTGACTTCACGTTGGAGTTGAAAATCCGGATCTTGTTTTTAATGATGAGTGCTGTTGACCTCCACACTGCCTTGGGAGTAATGAAAGCTTGTCTTGCTTTCCCGACCCTTGCTTTGATATCCTCGTCAGTGCCGCCTGTAGTTGAGACGATGCTTCCCAGGTAGGTGAAAGAGGTTGTTTCTTTCAGGTTCCTCCCATTTATGCTGATTGTTATCTGTTGTTGTTGCTGCTGCTGGTAGCCAGGAATCTTCATCAACTCTGTTTTCTGTTAGTACACCTGAAGTCCTATCTTGGATGCTTCTTCTGCCAACTTGTTGCTTTTCACTTGCATATCTTCCAGTTTGTGGGAAATCAGATATATATCATCGACGAAGTCCAGACCCTCCAAGTTTTTTTGTGTGAGTCCATTTTATGCCTGTTTCCTCATTGCCCGCTGTTTGTCGCATTATCCAGTCTACTGCAATCAGGAAAATCATTGGAGATAGTAGGCAGCCGGCCAGCTTGTCTTACTCCTGTCTTCACTTCGAAGGATTCCCTGCATTTTCCGTTGTTAATTTTTTGGCATGCAGCATTATCGTACAGCTGTTAGATGAGATGTATAATTGTCGGTGGCCCCCCTGTAGTAGCAAAGTAGTTGTCAAATCACCTCTCGATCGACGCTGTCGAAAGCCTTTTCAAAGTCGATGAAGTTGAGATAGAGAGGCGACTGCCATTCCAAGCTTTGTTCAATGATGATCCGTGGTGAGGCAATTTGATCAATACATGACTTGTTTCTCCTGAATCCAGCTTGTTCTGGTCGAAGTTTTTCATCCAGGTTGGCATGTTTGATTCTCTCCAGGATGATGCGGCTTAGTATTTTGCTTGGGATGGACAGGAGCATAATTCCACGCCAGTTCTTGTATTGACTTAGGTCTCCTTTCTTTGGCAGTTTGAATAAGCATCCTTTTTTCTAGTCCTCGGGTATCTTTCCCTCTTTCCACACCTTCTCCAGTAGTGGTGTCATCAAGTCCACTGTTGTCTCTGGATCCATTTTCAATGCTTCTGCTGGGATTCCATCTGGTCCTGCTACCTTTCTAGCTGTTAGCATCTTGATTGCCTTCACGACTTCTGTTCTTGTCGGAGGGTTGATGTTCACTGGTAATTCTGATTCCGTTGTTGGTATTGTTGGGCGCATTGTAGATAGCGGTCGATTTAGAAGTCTTTTGAAGTGTTCAGCCCAGTGTTTTCTTTGCTCCACTCTTAGATAACTTTTTGATATGAAAGACTGGAGTTGTCGGTGAATGAGGCCCAATTGGATTAACTACAACTATTCCTGTAGTGTCCGTTTCAGAGGTTGACTAGAAAGATGCAACAAAACTTTTTGAAATCCACAGCTGGAAAGAACCTAACTGTTAAAAGGCCTACAGACGTTTAAGAATTAAACTCAATTCCTCATGAATATGTAGGATTGAATTGAACAAATGTTTATCAGCTCATGGTTTCTATTGAACCCACAGAGGATTTTCATCTGTGAGAAAGAGATATCTCCGGTGGGGTCATAGGTGTGTACTGCTGAAAAGTTATAAAACCAGGATCAAACAAGTGCCCAGTAATTCCTGGTTTTCAATGGTTCTCCAACTGGATTCACTTCGTGATCAAACAGGAAAAAAGGATATGCGGATATTCTCATTCTGTCCTCTGTCAACTTGAATTTGTCCGCTTTACTAAGTGAACTATAGATTTTTCCATTTCTTCGAAATATCAATACAAATATCAGTAGTTATAATAAACTTTATGACTGAAATTCCCTCGCTTTGTTTTTAAATTTTAGGACGATGCTTGGAAAGTGTATTTTGATGCACCTGCACAGGACATTGTTAATGAATTCGCTATACGTTATGGTATTGAATCAATTTACCAAGCTATGACGTAAGTTAATCTAACAGTCAGTTGTATTACAAAGTATTCTGATGGTGACGACCTGCTTAAATTTGGGCTACCGAAAAATCCCATCGATATTTCACAGATGTATTTTCTCCGGTTCAGTTTGTTTAAATCTGATAAAAACATGACCTTGAACTACGTTTTATACTCTGGCGAGTATTTAATGTGTTTACAACTTGCTGATTTGCAAGTTTCTAGTTATCATGAGAAAAAACATAATCTTGGTTTGGGGTGTATTACAAGGCAAGAGATGGCTGTTCATGGGTTGTGTTCTTGGTTCACAGAATGGATTCCTGAACCTTTCTTTTTAAATTGCCATTCAACCAAATTACATGCATTTTCTGAAGGAGACATCATAATTTCTTGGTTTGCCTTTCATGTCAGGTGGAAGTGTTTCATATTGGTCCAGTGTCACGTGATATTTTATTTGAAGATCCTGAATGGAGATAAACTATGCTGAAAATTTTGTATAAAATATAAATGTTGTACAAAATAAAGCTCCTATTATTATCATTTACTCCCTTGTGTAGTATCCTCAATTAAATCAATAATAGGTGATGCATCATTCGAAGCGATGCTGTTCTATCTGAAGCACACACTCTAATAACCTGCTATGCTTCTATCTCCATTTCCTATGAAAAATCCAATAGCGGTTGGTTCAAACCTATTTAAAAGTAGCCGCGATTACAGATTACTATTCGAAGATATAACTGGATAATTAAAACAACTAAAAATACAGGAATATAGAGATATAATTCAATGGATAGAAAATAAGGTAGCCCAGCTATTACATCAGGCTACCAGGTATTATTCCTGGGTCCAGTGACATGGTCAAGTTCCATTTTGATTTCTACGGATTCATTTATATCGTTAAAAAGTGAAATGCCTCATCAGTTTTGTTGCTCAATAGAATCTAGATTAGTTGACCCGAATAAGATAAAAAATCTAGAGAACAGTTCAGCCATAGCAATCACCACATGCAATTACACACAAGCAAACAATAGGATGGGATAAGATGGCAATTCTAAAGTGTAATGTAACAGTTGGGTGGGGGGAGAGATTGATAACGGATGCTTTGTTTATCGAATCAACTGCAAATACATGTAATAGGAATGATTCAACACCTGTCCAGCTGGACATCTGGAAAATTCTACTACCCCAACGGCAACAAACAGGAGAGAACAAAGAGAACTATAAAACACAAGTTTCAAAGTCGTGTGATTATATCTGATGAAATGATTATGAGCAATAAATTTTGTTCAAAACGTCATCCAGTAAATAATACTGTTTCACTGTGTGATACATCTAATAAACAAACTAATATGGAATTACTTAATACCACAGGGCCCAAGTTTTACACATATATTAAGAATTTTATGTAGTTTAATAGGAAGGTGAAGTGGTAAGCAGTTGATTTTAATCGCGATTTAAATGATCACACCTTGCAAAATATTTCTGCATCAAATAAAGGTAGGCTAAAGAGCTGACGTTATCTAGCATTGACATGAACTATAAAATTGCATTATAGTATAACATAAAAGCCTTTGCTTCAATACTAAGGGAAATAAAACATTAGCTACGGTTTGCTGCGTTTTTACTCACTGTAGGTCTTCAAAAATACAATTATTGTTTATCACGAATGAAAGCATATCAAAATGCATAGAACTTTCTTGAATATATTTTTTTCAATTTTATTTATTTTTTATCCAGACATTTCTCATGCCTTACAACAAAGTATATGTGTACCGGTGTACCAGCTACCATGTCCAATCTACTAGCTAATATCAATGCATTTTACGCGCATACATCAGCATCCAGTAATCAAACAGCCTCAGAACGTTTCAGTGCTAGTAATTTTGGTGTAAGTTATCAGTTAGACTTAACAATATACAATATATTATTATTTGCTTGCTTATTTATTCAATTGATTTTTGAAGCTTTTGTTTTGATTTTGCCTTGTATTACCATGGATAATTCTGTCACTATTACAAGAGTTCTTAGGGCGACAATACCAAAAATGACAAGAATTTGATTTTGTCTAGAATTAGGTTACCCTAATTAAATGATTTGATTTTTTTTGTGAATACTCTAAAAAATCAGCTAAAATTGGAAAAATAATCTTAAGCCTGTGTTGGGTATTAAATTAGTCCAGTGCTCACAAGTGACTCAATACTGGATGAAGTTGCGTGAATTTCTGGTGGGAAGTCGTGACCAGTGGGCCCACCAAGTTGGGAGGTCGCACAGTATATTACGAATTGGCAGAAGTTAAATTTCATTAGCCATTAAAAACCACCCCCGAGGCTCAATGTTCAACTGCCGCACTTTGAAGCCTAAATAAAATAACCTGGATTGCATTTCTAGTGGGGTCATGGATGTGCACTGATGACCAGTCCGGAACTAGAGCGAGATAGCTGTCCAGTACTCCCTGGATTTTAATGGTTCTCTTGCTGAAGTCAGTTCGTGGTCGAACTTGAGAAAAGTAAATTAAAAACGTATAAGTCAGCAAAAAGATCTTTTTCAGCAAATTCATTTAGTGCGGGTTTATATACCCAATGTTATTTGACAACTTAGGTTAGAAGATGTTGTCAGTAACAAGATAAGTGAGTGTATGCAAAATAATGATGTGTGAAAAACAGTGAGTAATCCTGCGTATAGCGAAAATATTCATTCAGACATCTATAAAACACAAAATAATTGAGCAAAGAATATCCTTTTCGGTAAATTCCTCTTCTGGCTCTACAATTTTATATATATATATTTATATACACAGAATATTCTAGAAAAGTAGTCAATAACAATATTAGTATTTTTTTAAATAATATCGATTTGTAAAGTAAGATAAAGTGCTTGGTTCGCAGAGCAAGAGCAGTTTGTCTTGATAAGGAACTTAATAATGTTAAATGGTTTATTGCTAAGAATATGGATCTAAAATCAAAGCATCCCAATTACCAACAGTTCCAAAAAAGGCCTTATTCTTACAAATGCAGTTCCTTGGGGACAGTATCAGCGAGATACTAACACAGCGCCTTAGAAATGCGGTAAAAAGAGCATTCCCTGCTGCCAAATTACGCTGTGTCTTCAAAACCACTCCTCTCTTGCGTTCGGGAGTAAAAGACAAACTGCCTAATTTCGCCTCTTCCATGTGTATCTACCAATTTAACTGCTCCTGTAGAGTGAGCCAGTTACATAGGCCGTACAATTAGGCGTGTTTCTCGTCGAATTTCCGAACATCACCCTGTGTGGTTAAGCAAAAGACAAACAAAATCTATTTGCAGCCCTATTCTATCTCATCTTGTGGATACAGAACACAAGAGTGACGTTAATCATGCTTTCAGGGTCATTTAACGCATACCTACGAACCTCAATTTTGCCTTAAGAGTTCGACTACTAAATATTGCTGAGGCTGGTTGTTAGGATCCACATTAAGAAGCCTAATTTGTGCATCCAAAAGAAGTTAGTTCAGACATTATCCTTACCTTGGCCATCTACGTTTGAATGATCCTGGATATTTGTAGAATTTTCCAAATTTTAGTTGATATTCTATTTGCTACTATATCTTTATTGTTACTATAATTTAAGCATTTTTAATGAACTGTAATTCCACTGTGATCTTACTTTACAAATCGATATTATTTAAAAAGACACTAATATTGTTATTGACTATTAATCTAAAATATTCTATGTATGTAAACATATACATATAATTGTAGAGCTAGAAGAGGAAATTATCAAAAAGGATATTCTTCGCTTAATCCAACGTAATCAAGGGTTTTGACAACCAGTCAGTTAAATGATGAATAATCATTTAGAACTAACTGATATGGTAAAAGAGAAAAAGGACTTCAAACAGGTTATGAAAATAAAAAATTAAAAGGACTACATTGAGTTTATTTTACAATAATTCTGGCAAATAAAAATTGATACTAGCTAGCTCTGTTGTAGGAAAAGAAACTGGATAAGGCATTTCTAAACACAAAGTTCAGTTTTCTTACTTATGAACTGCCAAAGTCTACGCTTCGGATTCAATAACCCAATATTACTTTCTCCCACACTTTAAGACACTTACATCATACTTTAATAAACTGTTAACGCAATTGCGACAAAACTTTGACATTAGGTTACACTCGCTTGTATACTTCTATTCTTATACTATGAAAAGAAATAACAAACCTTCTTTTATTATTTCATACATCAGTGTTTCGTGTCATTAACCATCAACTTATTGGTATGTTTTCAACATATACTGTGAAGAAAAGCCTTTCTGACCACCAAGGAGATTATTGGAGGCTACTGGTTATTTGAGGAATCTTTCTTTGAATGGTACAGGAAGTACTACCTTTTTATTTTTATTTTTCAAACCTCTGTAAGAGTTAGACTGACTCCAAATCAGAAGGCTGCGTGTTCGTATCACGTCGGGCTCACCACTTGTAAGAGTTAGACTTTGGTTAACTTAGACCTAAATTAACCACTCTTACAAAAACTTCACCGCTTTATGACCTTAATTGTACTCTGCCTAATGCGCAAATACTAACGAACTGAATCAAGGTAAAAAGACTTGAGATAACTAGCGTGACTGGAACAGAGTTATATTTACACAAAAGCAATATGACATTTGATAAAGAATAAGAGGGTATACACTTATCTGCAGTTGAGACGGTGGTAAGCTCGGAGAGTGTACTGGATGAAAGCACAGCGAGAGAACGAAACGGAAACCGTACAGGAGATTCACGAATCCAAAAAGGAAGTGGGATTAAAGGTCAGGTGAGTTCGTTCAAACAAAAGTTCGAAGGTACAATGTACACTACACCTCTTATTTGTATGGCACTTAAGACAGGTGCTTCATTGAGTATTCTCATTTTCGACATTTAAAAAAGATTTTTTTAAATTATGCTTAGGATTGGTACTCCTTTCTTGACGCAACACATCCACTTTTTTTCTACTTCTTAGTGGAAACTAACTCACAGGTTTGGAGGAAATCATTTAATCTAATACTACCACTATAATTTCCAAATGTTTATTATTGTAATATACTACAGAATGTAGACTTTTAGCCTTCAAAATTCAATTAAATATTAATTTGGTTTGTAAGGGTTAGTTTTGTTTTTACGAGTTGATCACGGATTGATATCAGCTACAGAACCATTGAAATCCAGGGAGTACTGGACAGCTACCTCATCCTAGTTAGAATTAATGGGCCATTGAATTGGGTCCCAGTGGCTGAATGGTATACGAGCTTGCCTTGTAACCGGAAGGTCCTGGGTTCGAACCCCAGTGGGTGCGTACTGCCAATGATTCCCAAAACTAGGATGAAACAGCTGTCTAGTACTCCCTGGTTTTCAGTGGTTCTCTAGCTGATTTTGTGTAACACTGTGTGATTTATCAAAATAAAATCTTATCCATAATGGAGTTACACTCTACCACAGTGCCCAAGTTTTATACTTATATTCTCTAGCTGATGTCAATCCGTGTTCAAAATTTAATTCAAATTTAAACACGGATAGATATTTGTTAGAGAACCACTGAAAACCTGGGAGTACTGAGCCAAGTGGCTGAATGACCGGGGAGTCTGGTCTTAAAACTTGAAAGTCCTGGGTTCTATCCTCGCTAGGATCATGGGTGTATGCTAATGAAGAGTCCGAAACTTGGACAAAACAGCTGTCCACCAATTTCTGATTTCCAATGGTTCTTTAACTGATATCAGGCAGTGATCAAACTTGAAAAAACAGATCAAATCTCCATTAACACACTTCTAGAATTTAAGCTATTCTCGTCAACTAACTAGTATGACTTTTAGGACATAGAATGCCTAATAATGTTCCACAATATCAATTGCTTTTATTGTTTTCTTTGTTCATGACTTTTTATCCCTATGCCATCTAGTTTTTTTGTGTGTGTTTGTGTGTTACGGAAATTAATTCACTGACTGTTTGATTAGTGTTCAACATACACAACAACACATTGGTTATTGTTGTCATTCTCCTTTATCATACAGTGAAAATTATCCATCATTTTCAGGCTTATATTTCTCATTGAATGGAAGAATAAAACACAAAGGGCTTTACAATATTTATTGTTGTTGCAATTTTTTTAATTTTACCTGTAGTTTTTCTGTTTCCCATTCACCGAGATAGACCAGCTTCAAAATAGTCTCAATGTGATTAACTTAATGTGTGTGTGTGTGTTTTTTAAACCACTTAATATGAACTTGATTTGGACGTCTGTAAATAGCGAAATTATGTAAAACAAAGAACAACTGACTGGCAGAAGAGAATTAGGAGACAATTTAAAGTCAAGATATAAAACTGTAACTTACAGACTGCGTGCAGATTTTTATACCAGATCATGAATAAGCTGAAATCATTGTATGCAGGATAGCCATCAGTGCTTGATTAGTTAGCTACCTGAAGTTGACATGGATTCAGAACCCATAGAGATGGATCCCTGTTCGCGAGTTTCTTATTTAGACCAGCGTAAGATCAGAGTATACATTTGTCCATATGATTCAAAGACTCGGCGCGACAACCACCTAAGCATTACAGAGTTTCATCAACACCTATCTAGATTGCATCGATAATGAAGAACAGGTAGCCTGTCAGGGAACTGTAGCAACCAGCAATATATCACCCAACAAACATGCAGGAGAAAATAGAAATAGATTCAACATTCAACGCTGAGAGTGATATCACATGCCAGCCCTTCAAATGGAACCCGAATGGGAAAAGATGAGTTTGGCGTGCGTCCGAGGATGACATGGAGGAGGACAGAGCTTATGGTCGGTCAATCTTGGAGGCAGCTTAAAAGGACAGAAGAGGATAGAATGTGAAAGTGGAGACGTGCTGATGAAGCCCTAGGTCCAATCAA